TTTAATACAAGGAGACAATTTCTTTTCCATGAGGTTTTAGGATTCATCAACACATAAACTTGTGTATTTATAAAAAATTAGTTTATTATAGTCTTTTTTTAATTTGTTTATGAGTCATTATAATATAATCAATTATTTTATTATTTCAATAAATAATTAATGGAAAATATTTTTATTTTAAGCAAAAAAAATCATTAAACCTATTGTTCTTTTGGTTAAATCCACATGTGCCTCTTTTATTAAAAAAAAAGAGCTTGGGTATGTGTTAAAAAAAAAAACACTAATTCGGTTTTCGGTGGAAACCGAACCAAATTGAAATAATTTCGGTTTTTGATTTTTTTTTTCAATTTTTTTTTTAAATCAAACCGAAATTGCTAATTTAACTCAATTCGATTCAGTTTTTACCGAATAATGCTCACTCCTATTTATGAGAGCTTTAACTGCTAGCTCTGCATCTTCTGTTATCAGTTTGTTTACATTAGTCTTTCTTCTTAGAGCTCATGGGATTCTATCCAAGATTCATGCCTGTTTTATCCACTAGCCCCATTTAGGACTTTTTTGTATTCTTGTCCTGACATCCTTTATTAGTATTGTCGTTGTCATGACCTAAAATTAAATAGGAAGCCTCAATGAACTAAAATATCCTGCAGCCCTATACAACAATTAAACATAGTAATGACAATACAAATACATGTGCTGGTAAATAATTAATGATTTAGTGAAAAATGTGATTCCATGATTGAAAAAAAAAACAATTTTGTAATTAAAGAGGAAAAAGAAAACAGACAAATAAAGAAGCAAGATATTTAAATTTTTTAATTGTTTGCTTAACAGGTGATTGTTTTTTAAATATTTTCTGTAGCAAGATCGAAGTGAAGTTCAAAATTTAAATCAAGTTGTCTCTTCTGCATTATAGAGTGTATAAGAGTATTTATTAAATTATTTTTAAATGCATCAGATCGTGCATGTTTAAGATCATTATTTTCAAATAAAAAAGACTTTAATTTTGATTTTGACCGACAAAAATACCCTTATCTTGCCCTCTAATTAAAAAAAATCTCGAAGTCGGCTGGTGCTTCCCTCCACGTTTCCTTCCTAAAGTTTTACAGGATTCCCTCATTTTATTATCTGTGTCAGAGGTCCCACGGTCAACTTAACCTGGTCTTTTGCGCTAGCTGGCCTATTGAGGTGTCCTCTTACCAATGGTCAAAAAGGAGTCCCTCCTACTAAACTAGGTTTCTTTCGGCGTTTCTTGGAAGGTGATATTGACATAAGTTAACCGCACTCTTATCTTAATTTTATATATATATATATATAAATTGACCATTTTATCTTTACAAGTTTTTAATTTATTTTTTATTTCTAAAAATATCCATTTTACTTTTAAGTCAAATAACTTACGACTCCACTTTCTTTGTCGAGCATGCAATTCTTTTAGCCTATAAACTTCAGTATTCTTGAAGCCAGGTGATTTATAGCAATTTTAATTTTTTTATGTTTTTTTTTTAATTTTAAATCCTTCAATTTTTAACTTGTACATATTATTTCAAATAAAAATATATTAGTTGGCCCTATAATTTTTAATTTTAATGAAAGAAATTATGTCCATTGACAAGTATTTCTAAATAATAAATTAATAATGTCACAAAAAAATAAAATAGCTAGCAATTTCAAATTGTTTCTAAATAAATAACCATTAAAATTTTGAAATAATAACCTGAATTTATAATAATAATAATATCTCTAATCAAAATGTCAAAATATAACAATTAAGTATTCATATTATAATTGTTTCTAGAAAGAAACCTTCGTATATAGCCACATTATAATGAATGTGCCAAAATTATAGGCAATAGCTAAAATTTAGAAAGTAAATAGTGAAACATAACATATGAAATTTGCAAAATTTAGTGAAAATAAATTAATATTCAAAGCTTAATAATTAATAGCAAATTTAGAACAAATTGAAAAAAAAAGAAAAGAATAGTGTATATTTTCCATGACAAATCATAACCTTGAAGTGCATATATATATATATGTGTCTGTGTGGTAATACAAATATGAAAATAACTATAAATGAAAATTACTAATAAAAGAAACATAATAAATGTCTTACCATTAAGACAAGCTTGTGGGTTAAATTGGAAAGCACTTTTCAAGTCCAATTCTCTTGTGGATGCAGTAAATAGTTCTTTCATGATGGAATTTTCTTCAGCAGATTGTGTTTTTTTTTTTTTTTTTCATCTATTAATGATTATACGTGGACTTGTGATAGAAAACAAGAAAAAATTCTGGAATTTTTAAAAATGAAAGGGAAAAAGAGTTGTTGTGAGACTTAAAAGTTCAAAAGAAAAAGAAAAAGTTTTGTTTTGTATTATTAGAAATAAAATGGTTAGTTAAAAAAAATAAAAAAAGTGAGTGTGTGGTTAAAACATACTGGAGTGCCAATATGATCTCCCCTCATCTTGTTCTTTCATTGTACCGAAAATAACATATAAAAACAAACAGAACCTCATAGTTTATAAAAAAAATTTATTCAATAATAAAGATATTTTCGAGTTAGTTTATGTATGAATCGAGATCAAGTTTTTTTAGATGATTTTAATAATATATCTTTTACATCGATTTGATATATCTTCTCAAGTGTTGTTTTAAAATTGGAACTAAAAAATAAAAAAGAGAGCAAATTTCTTTAACTACTGAATTACGCTAAGCCCTTGAGGTTTAATAGGACTTCTTTAGGTTCAACATATTTATGCTATCTATACCATGTTGAGATTGTTTCAATTTATTTGACAGTTTCAAATTATCAGCATGTGAAGCGGCCACTAAGCCCACTATAGGTAATGTTTCCATGATATTCTGATTGTTGAATTAAAAAAATATATATATATAAAAAGTCCTTGCCGCCTAACTAAAGTAATATATAAGATGGTTGATGCTTCCCTCCACGTTTCCTTTTTTTAATGTTTTATCGGATTCCCTCGTTTTATTATTGGGTAAGTCCCATGGTTAACTTTAACCTGTTCTTTTCCGTAAGTAATTTTATAATACTCAAGAGTAACTAATGTATATGTATAATATTTACTTTATAAACTTATTTTTAAGAAAAGATATATATATATATATATATATATATATATATATATATATGAATCCATTAAAAATGATAAAAAGATATTCATTTTTTTATTTTTTTCTCTCTTATTATTATTATTTTTTTATGTCTATCTCTTTCTATCGAGTAAATTATACTAATTGCTCATTGAGTATCATCAAATTTCTCGTTTTGTAATGAAGTGTGTTCTTACTAAGCTAGATTTCTTTTGCCTTTTTCTTATTCCTATTGTAAAGAAAGGAACATATTTAATGGTAAATTTTACACATATTTTTATTATGATTTGATAATTTCAAATCTTTAATATTAAATTATGCAGTTTAAATTACAAACTATTAGTTTTTGAGCAAAATTGATCCAATTTTTATAATTGTCGTTACATAAAATGGTTAACTCGAATTGAATGTTACTTGGAATATCAAAAGGACATCATTTAGACTTTATACTATTAATTATGTTTTTTTTAAAAAAATATTTTAAAAATATTTTTAACCCTCCTCATCTTGAATTTTTTCTTATAAAATATTATAAATATTTTATAAATTATATAAAAAAAACATTTTATAAATATTTTTAACCCCCTAATTTTGAACTTTTTGAAACTTTTTTTTATAAAAAATATTTTTTTATACAATTGATCAAATTAGGAGGTTCAACCCTTAATTATGCTCATTTTAATTTATAAAATATTATAATTTATATTATAAACATTTTGAAGCTCATTGGATATTATAAACATTTTTTTAAAAAGTTTAAGATTAGGAAAACTAAAAATATTTTTTAGAAGACATAATTAATAGCAGAATGTCAAAACGACATTGTTTTCACATTTCAAGTACATATAACGACAAATTAGAGAAATTAGATCAATTTTATTCAAAAATCAATAGTTTGGGATTTAAATTACTCAATTTGATACTAAATATTTGAAATTGCCAAATCGTAATATAATGAGAGTAAAATTTGCCATTAAACCCAAAATAAATAGAAACATAGTTTATAGGATTTTTTATTTTATTTGAGAGTAAAAGTATTTCCAACTAGTTTATGTATCAATTGAAATTAATGTTTTTAAATAATTTTAAAAATACGTTTTCTATATCTACTTGATGCATTAAAAAAAAAACTTTTTAAAAAAATCTTCTCTTTCAAAATTTGAATTCAAAAAATACAAAAAGAAAATAAATCTCTTTTAACTAACAGGCCACGCTAAGTCCATAGAGTTAATGTAACCCTTTCTGCTCAACATGTTCGCGCTATCTATACCCCCATTGAACTTGTTTCAATTTATTTGTCCGCTCCAAGCTATCAGTTTGTGAAGCGGCAACCGCGCGCATGTAGTTAATTAGTTTCTAACCTACATACTTATTTTTAAGTGGGTTCAAAACCTATAATTTTATCAATTAAGTTTGAAATGTTATCCCATTTTTCTCAATTTTTGCTTAATGTTTTCCCATATAATGTTTGTATAGTAGGCAATAAAATGACATTTTTTGGAAGAAAATTAACTTTACGAAACATTGGACCTGCTAATTAGGAAGCCCACTGCTTGTGAACATCCATCAAAGAAGACAATAGCGATTGCCAAATTAAAGATGTTTACTTATTAATCGCAAAATTAACTTATGATGGAAACACATCCTGTTATGGCAAGAAGGACATATAGAGTTTATTGTAGTAGTGAAGCTGCAGAGACGATTTAACCTCAACACTCACACTCTGTAGTATATTGTAGTATACAATACCAAACAACGACAGTTCTTCTTTTGGTAAAACTAACATTAAAAGTTCAATTAAGACGAAACATACTCCAAGACCCCAATTTGCTTAGGAGATATCTCAGTTAGACAAGTAATTAATGATCAAATGATATAGCTTTTCTTCATTGATTAGAAGTTCTGGGACTAGGATCGATGGTACTTGTATTCAGATCATGAAGAAACTTCGTTATTGTTTGTACAATAGCTTGATCGAAGCTTTCTCTATCCAGCACAGAGCCACTTTCAGTGCCACCGCAGTTGTCACCTCTAGGGTTCTGCAAGCCCACAGTACGTATTGCAACCAATAAAATTGGGAGTTTCACATTACTGAAAAAATAAACTAGACAGAAGACTAATCATGTGAAATTAAGTTCAGCAAAATAATCAAAATTACTAATTACGACTGCTTGCATGATACTACTACTCCAGCAAGTTAATTGAAAACCCTAATCAATTCATCCAAAATATGTGCAGTATATGGATATTTTCAAACTAACTATAGTATAGTAGCCAATGAGCTGGAGTTTAACTGGCATTAGCAGCCTTCATTCCTTCTTAAAAAAAGCCTTCTAAAGTCTCAATTTCAAATTTCTTGTATATATATATATATATATAACCTTTTTAATGTAAAGAGGGAGGGATGGAGAGAGATCAATGAGTAAATTATAAATTAAATTCTTTATTTTTAAGAAACGAATTAATTAACTAGTCATTCTTATTTTAAAAAATAATTATTTAGTCATTTGACTAATATTGATCCCCCTTAATTTAATAATTATTTTGCTTCATAAAATATCATCTTTTATTATCAATCTTTTTTAGATTGTTTGCTTTTTTTTTCTTTTTATATTTCTTATAATGGTCGAAACAAATTAAAAATGAGTAAAAAGGACCAAGTTATAAGAAAATAAAAAATATAGAGACTAAATAATTAATTTAATATATAATTTGCACAATATTCCTAGTAAATAAAGGAAAGGTTAAATGCAGAGGTGAGGTTAGGTTATGTACAGATTTCCGCTTTGATGGTAGCCTGGACCTAGGATCCATAGACTCCGTCAGCTCGTCAAGCAGCAGCACCTGTCAGCATTAATTTAACAGCATATAAATGAAAAAAATAGATACAAACATATACGTGAGAAATTAATAAATTAATATTAAATCCATTCCAGATACTTACACTTTACGCTTATATAGATGAAGGCATGAAGCATTTGGTCACAGCATGCATTATAATCTTGTTTCAATGCACTTGGCTCCAGCCAACCAAAGATAGATGAAGGTATTTAAGATTATAACTATCTTTGTTAGCTAATGCATACCTGTTTCACAATCTCTTCATACTTCTCGAAACTCCTATACAATCTTGCTTCATCTTCTTCCCTCGACATTAATATCTGTGTACAGCTTTTTAACCTTGATTCTTTAAGCCTCTTGTGAAATCTTACTGATCTAAAAGTCTTGGAGAAATATTTGACGTTTAGCTTGGAAAACAGCTTCATTTATAGCAACCTTCATGCTAGTTTTGACACGTGAATCAAGCTGGTGGTGTAAGAATTGGATGCTTTCATTGTAGTAACGATTCTTATTGAGATTTGGGATTAGGATATTATCATACAAAAAATGCAAAAAAGAGGACGTTATTTTGCCCACAATTCCTTTCTTCTCTACTGCTACCATTCCAAGTGTAACTCTCGTGGCGTGGTGAGAAACCGTTAGGGAGTCTACCTTTTCCCGCTCTACGAGAATGTGAGGGAAAGCTTCCAAGTCTTCAAACGTAGAAATGACATTTCAAAGGAAACTAACTAACTAAGAAGAAATCTTGATTCTTTTTGCATCTTTACAATTCCTGAAAAGCTATCACGAATAGGACAAGACAACTGCTTTGCTTTTGCCATCTCTTCTCCTTTTACTTAGCTGCGATTCCATAAACAGTAACTCATATGGCAAACCAAATGTCTTCGACCACTTCAAAATCAAACTCTTTAAACATCTAGAAAATCACTTGTGGTGAACAAATTCTTTCAAATCCCTATATATAGTAATCTTGCATCTAATGCAAATGGAATATAGCGAAATCATGTATATTGTCAGAGGATAGCACCCACCTGGGACATTCAGTTTTACATGAAATTTAGGGGCTAGGGCAAATCTTAAGGATACGCACTGTCCATTGCCTCGATGTCTGCGTGAAATAAACTTTTGGCACTGCAAATTAGATAACTTCCTAATAATATAGAGAGGAGGTGAAAGAATGTGAGCACCCACTCTTAGAAAGTCATTTCACATACTCCTTATGAATATTACACCAAAGTTATCCAATCAAATCCATTCCTAAACAAGCAAATATAAAGCACCCCAAATATTTACGTTCCATTCTGATTTACAACAAAATCACATGCCAAGCGAAATGAATTCACCTTCTGTCAATACAAACATGCAACAAAGATTAAACAAGTCTGTCTTCTGTTTCACTTGGTACCACAAAGTGGCCAGTGTAGTCAATTTCTTTCTTCATCGTGATGCCAGCGACCAAAAGTTCAGGAGAAAAGATGGCAATGCAGAAAACCAGCTGATGAATGCCATGGCTGTAGCAGTTTCAAACTGTAAACAATGGTTATCGGCACAGCTATCAAGATCATTGTTAATAAGGACTGTTATGCCAGCAGAAGCACAAGCTGCAGCAAATGTGAGCGTGGAAGCTATCTGCATGAAAACAACACAAAATTGAGGAGAATAAAATTTAAATGTAAATAAATTAACTCGCAAGATAGCACAACTGAGTTAATTGATGTGAAATGAAGAAAGATAGCCAATGGACACTGGGACGTAAAAGTATAACATCCATGTAGTTGAGTGGAGTATTATTGCAAACTTTCCATTCTGCAGTTTAATGTTCATTTTTGGAATGAGCATCGTGAAATTTTTTCACAAAAGGGAACGTGATGAAATGTCTGATCAAACTTATAAGACCTAACTCCACACAACTAGATGTCAAAGGCCATAAAAATATGTAGTGTCTGTCCTCGTTATACATGATAGATGACATATTCAACAATCCTATACAAGAATGCACCCAAAAGCTCAAGCAGACACCATGACAACTATACTTGAGCTGGTGAAACATTAACACTATCTTCTCGCCGTTTCACACAGAGATCAGTCATAAATACTTAGTCCAACTAAATTTAGATATGATTGCAGTCTGCATTCCAGCAAAATGTAATTAGCTGAATTTTTCATCTAATTATGACCCAATGAAGACTCCGCACCTTAATGCTAATACATTAGACTTATTATAATGAAATGTTTGAGATGAAATAGAAAAGCAAGTGATGGTAACTGTAGTGTTAGCTCTTACATGCTGAAAATCAATAGCGAAAAGAAAAACAAATAAAAAAAGGATGGTAGTGGAATAACCAACAAGTACAGAAAATTGAGTGGATGAATAGGAAGAAAAAAAAAAACTTAAAATCTTAAAGGAAAAAACCAAGCAGTTCAAATTACTTGACTGCCTGGATCCCAAGTCTTATGAATGCAGATGACTGGCCATGAGCCACAAGCAAAATGCCTATATCTTTGGGTGAAGTCACATATCTTTAGGTGCGTAGAGATAAGGGCTTCAAACCAACAACACAGGAGGACAACAACCACCCAGACATGCACTGCTAAGAATCAGTTTTTCATTAAAGACAACATCATCTTACCCCATCACCAACAGCGAAAGCTATGACAATCCTGTAATTTTGCAACGAGCGCATCACCAAAAGGGCATAAATATCAACAATAGCCAAGCAAAGGCTCCACAAGCACTGCAAGCTAGCGGCCACAACTAGGTAGCTGACATTGTGCATCATAAAAGAAAAGAACTGATGTTATCAAACAATAAATATCATGATTCACGTAAAAAACTGGCTCACAAACCAAAATATTTGCCATTCCATCCCATTGATAATAGCTTAAGCAAAATTCAGCAGCATGATTACATAGACAAGACATCCAAAGCACAACCAATTAAGTGGTTGGCTAAAACAACTCATTCATCAACACTGAGATCTCATCAATAGTTAATCCAGAACATGTCAAACAGACTTATTATTCTTTCCAAACTGTTGACCACATTCAAGTATAGACACGGGAAGCTAATTCGAAGCGTGAATACTTTAAATCTTAATTAACAAAGAAACAAACTAAGAGTTTTTTTATGATAAGATATGATGAAAATTTGTTTATAAGATCTTTTAAAGAGGTATGCCCCTTTATGACACACCGATGCAAGTATCCTGCATAACTCAAGCGTTTTCCCTTCTTCATACTAGCATCATACCCAAACAAATCAATCAAAATGGTAAAGACAATATACATAAATAAAACTGCGGGTAAAGGAAGTGTTCTTTTCCAAATGCACAGACATGGATAAAATTATGGGAAGCGGAAGCATTCTCTTTTTTCTATCATAATGATTAGTGTTCACTTGTAATTTTGCTACGGCATTGAAGCATTTCATCTTCCCTACTTTTAACATAGCAGCAGCAATCGAATCCAAAACTTAGGTTTTCAAAATATAAAACTATTAAGATAAATAATTCATATAATTCACTTAAATAAAGATGAAAGCAGAATCAAGCACTTGAACTAAACAGAACGAAAGAAAAGGAAGGCAAGCAATTTAATTACGTAAAGGCGGTAACAGAAGGGAAGTCGCTGGTGGAGGCCATGACAGAAAGAGCCGTAACAGCAAATATGAACTGTGAGAGACGCAAAGCAAGGCCGCCTTTGGTGCCTGGCATCCCTTGTATGTCTTTCATCCTCACTCTCGGCGCGTTATTGTTTCCTCCGTCCGTCGTAGTCGGATCTTCCACCGGATGTATTGATGCATGGCTCACACTCATCTCTCTTCCTCCACCACCACCGCCGCCACCTACTTCTTCAATTCATTGCTTTAATAGTAGTAATAATCTGTATCACTTCTAAAACTTACTAATTTTTAATAACAATAATAATAATTAGCATCAACAAACAGAGAAAAAAACAATCATCTTTTCAACTCTAACTCCAATTACTATTTCTGAGATTTATTATTTTTTTTCCCTTTTATTACAAATATTCCTAAGAAACTGAAGAAAGAATGCTACCTAATTGAAATCTAAATCGATGTCCTTCTTAAAGAGCCAGTTGACGAGACCGATTGAGGTGTGATTTCACAGTAAGGTAAAGTTTTGGGTGGATTGTAATTTAGTCCTTGTTTCGTTTGTTATTTTATATTTTAGTCCTCATTTTGTTATTTTATATAATAGTCCATCAGGTTTTGGAAATCGTGGGGGAGAGACGCCTTACCCTCCCTTCTTATGTAGTTGACTTTTAATTCTTTTATAAATGTTCCAATTGCTCCTTTCAAATGCACTTTTTGAAAATTTTGACTAAAAATAAAGGACGTTATAAAAAAAAATTATTATGAAAAACTAACACAACACTGATAGTTTTGTTTGCTGTTGTTTTTATACCTTTTTACTCTTTTGCCTAATTTTGGGAGGTGAAAAGTGATTTACTTTTAAGATATATTAGGTTCTACTTGAAAAAAAAAAGGGATAATTTTTTTCTAATTTATAAATTACAAAATATTCCATGATGCATATTTTTGCTATATATGCCTGATATTATTTTACAGTCTCAATCTTATATTTGTTGCATTGGAATTTTTAACCTTCAATTTTCACTTAGTAACGTTATATTTTCCTTTAGCAACACTAAAGTTAAGTGAAAATCACAATTTAACCTTCTCTTTTACCGTTTTTTTTTTCAAGACCTTCATCGTTCTAATATTTATTAACTATCAATCCTCTTTTTTATTTTATGTTGTAATCAAATAGCACCTTTGACATATGCAAATACTCACATTTTAAATAATGTCAAAATTATCTATACGCAAGCTATCATTTCAATTATATGAGATATTTTTTTTCATAATTCTTCTTCAATGTTTTAATAAAAAAAATTAGATAAAAAATACATACATGACACGCTAACGAGAGAGTGTATGAAAGGTAACAATAACGCTAGGTGATATTGTTATTAAAAAGTATTTTTTTATCGAATTTGTTTTTAGCTTCATTTTATTTTTATATTATCAAATGACTCCTAGACGGGGTTGATGAAAATATTTTTTTGTTATCGTATTGATTTTATTGAAAAAAATGTATTTTTTAATAGTCTTTTCAATTTTAATTTGTTTATTTTTACCTTCTAGGTTATATTGAGACGTTTTATAAATTTTGAAGATGAAATTAAATACATAGAATGGAACAAAAAATAAAAGATATATGTTCTAGTTGAAACAAGTTGAATATTTAAATCAGTCAAGACAACACACAAATCTTAGCAGGACGAATTAAAATTTACCCTAATATTTACTATTCAACCTAAAATAAAAAGAGAGGATCTAAATCCCTGAAAGACGAATTTCAATTTATTCTCCATTAGTTTTGAATTCAATGATTCGAATCAAGTGAAATAAATAAAATAATAAAAGTTAAATTATTGTCAATCTTATCATGTACTAGATTATATTTGTTAAATTTAATGATTTAAATCCAACAACATAAAAAGCATGAAATACACAAACATAAGAAGATCTTCATCTCTCAAATACTATTAAAGCCCAATCTAATTCCATCTCCACATCCATTCCAATTTCAAGCACATTAATTGAATTGGTTCGGATTAAATACAACAAACTTGAATCCTATCAATCCTCTGGCTATCTAGCACTCACCCTTTTTGAAGCTCTGGACAGAGGCACCCGTGACCTATACGCCAGGTAAAGAGTTCTCGGGCAAATCTAAAAAAGGTCCCTCAACCAATGCTAACAAAATTCTCAACTAAGTGGTTTATCTCAACCTTTCACAAAATTTTAAAGCATCACAAGCCCTATCCAATCTTAACTATTGGGAGGACATCAATTGACGTGTAAAAAGATGAGTTTACCATAAGAGGCCAATATCAAGAAATTAATTTTAACGTTTTCAAAGCAATAAAATTTCGACTAATGGATGTTTTAGGACGGATGTTGTGGATAAATTTATAAAAAAGCTAACTGTAGATGGTTGGGGACTTTTTTGAAGATTACTCAAAATTCTGTCATTAACCATCATACGATCCATGTTCCATAGCCCATCATCCGCTACGAGCATCCACATCTCCACATCAAACTTGAAACTCCCACGTAACACAAATCCATCCATCTAATGCTACAACATGCATGAATGCAATTTAGATGCATAGCATCATAATAGCATCATCCGATTTTGGTTTTGTGAATTCCGGAGTCCCTCTTTTGTACTTTTCCGCCCCCTCCATCGAGTCCCTCTTCCCACTCTCCACCCTCTCTCAAAAGGGGAAAAACAAAAGAAATAATAATAATAATAATAAATACTAAATAAATTGCTCAAAAGCTACACTCGCGATTTTTTTGGCTCTCTCTCTCTCTCTCGATCTCCACGATCTGGCCTTTTTTGGATCGAAAATTAGGGTTTTGCTCCTCTCCATCTACTCCATCCCTTTTATCCAATCTCGTGGTTTAAAACCTAGTTTTTGCTGCTTCTTTTTTAGGGTTAACAGATCCACAACGGCTCTTTAGCTTTTACGTCTGCTAGTTTTGTTCCCACTCTATTAAGCATGTTTTGGAAGCTCACCGCTCTCTCTACCTCCTCTCCTGTAAGTTTATTTTATTATCCCTAATTTTATTTAGGGTTTGTGACAATTAGTGGATTTAGCTTTACAATCGTTGCTAATTGGATCTATAAACCCTAGGAAATATGCGAATTCTATATTGAATTGGCTTTTATGGTTTTAATTGGGACCTGGTTTGAGCTGATTGAGTTGAGACGGATGTTGTTTTTCATCGTGTAGATTTATGTGATTCTCTGCCTTTCATATACTAATTCAATATTTAGTTAGTGACTGTGTGCTTACAAACTGTTGGAAAATGCTAGTGTTTTAATGTATGTAGATTAGAATGTTTTATGTTCGTTTTCGACATTTATTAAAAGAAATAATTAATAAATAAATGGGGTTTTGTTTTTTGTTTTAATGGTAGGAGCACTTAATTTAATTGGCTTCTAGTGTGTGTGTGGCCGCTTCTTAGGAAATCAAAGAAATGATGTTGAAAAATTGTTGTGGGTTTTATATTACTACCGTATTTAGCTTCTTCTTTTTTTTTTCCCCCAATGGGAGGGCAGCCTTGCTAAAATTGTTACTATAGGGTTTTTACTTTCCGAACCATGTTAATTCCCTGATTTACTATATTTCGTAGAAGTTTTGCTAATGATATTTGATAATATTTTCCTGATAATCAAACCTGTTTAAATGTTGCATTAATATTTGCTCATCTTCTTTCTAGTTTACTCATGTCAACCTGCTATTGCTTTTGTAGGTGGAGTCAGTATTAGACAAAGAAAATTTCACTTTGGAAGAGCTTCTGGATGAGGAAGAAATAATCCAAGAATGCAAAGCTTTAAACACCCGACTCATCAATTTGTAATTCTTTTCCCCGTGTTTACGATCAATGCTGAAATGCTCTGATTTCTGCATAAGGCTTTTCTCTATCATGCATACTTTAGTGTCTTTGTACTGTTTGGGAATATAGTTTGGAGTTGATCCTGGTGGATGCTCATCATAAATTACTGTATGCAGTCTGCGAGATAGAGCCCAAGTGGAGCAGTTGCTCAGATACATCATTGAGGAACCTTCAGAGGATGCTGAAAGCAAACGAGCCTTCAAGTATGTCATTCTAACTTGAGAAAACTGTTTTCTTGTGTTGAAATGTTTCTTGGGTGAGCTTTTGTTTCTTGTCTCTGACAAATTGCTTTTGGTTTTTAGGTTCCCCTTCATTGCTTGTGAGATATTTACATGCGAAATTGATGTTATTCTTAAAACTTTAGTGGAGGAAGAGGAGGTAGGTTGTGTTTTTTCATCACACTTTGTTTTAATCTTGAGCTTGGTGCAGTAAATGCTCTTTTACTGATGGTTATCTTTATTTTCCTGCTATTTCAGTTGATGAACTTACTCTTCTCTTTCTTGGAACCAAATCGGTCTCATAGTGCATTGCTTGCTGGGTATTTCAGCAAAGTATGTTTTTAGAACTTTGTATCCAGTTTTCATGAGAAGTCGTATCTTTAATATTTTGTTTGGCCAAGATCACTCGATTGATGCTATTTGTTTTGTATTTTAGGTTGTTGTTTGCCTTATGTTACGCAAGACAGTCCCACTTATGAACTATGTCCAAGTGAGTATTTTCTACTTGTGTCTATGCTGTGGTTTGTTGCAAGTTTTACTCTACTTAATTGTAAAGAATGCTTTGTTTCAATCAAGGGAAGTTGTGTTTTTCAACTCCCATCATATGGATATTCATTATGGGTCGTGACCTGGCATGCACATGTATATTTTTGTGGTTAATTTTCCGTACCATTTGATGTTTTAGAATTTAGTTTAGAAATACAAAATATGGGAATACACAATGTTTATGTTAACTGGAGAAAAAAGGATGCAGGTGCATTTATGTCCACGGTAGCATTTGTTGGGTTAGAAGGACATTACTGCTTCCATGCATAAAGAACACATTAGACTTCTCATATTTGTGTTGCTCTGTTTTGCCTGGACTTGGCATTTCATCCCTAAGTTCCCATGCTAATGCAACGTGACAAGGGTATGATTACTAATGATTTCAGATGTTTGAAATCCATCTGACTCTTTAACCAACACTGAGGTGCGGCTTCAATTTCGATACCAAACCAAACAAGTGGCATGATTACTAATGATTGTGGTTTCAAGGAATTAACATTGAAGACAACCACAATATGATAGAGAAGCTTTGAAGAGGATCTTAGGAATTCAGATTCGGTGATTTGCAAAATCTACAGTACTTTGTTTAAGGTCTTGAAAAATGTGTTGGAATGAGAAACAATAAGAAAACAGCGGAGAAGACACACAGAACAAAAGAGATGAAGATGGAAGTAAACAGGGGGCTGACAAATGATTTGGTTACAAGAAGATCCTTGTCAGTAGTTTTATTGTTTATGGGTTTGGAGTTAAAGTAGCTGGAAGGCTTGGTTCTTTTAGTTGGTCTACCTTTGGTTCCAAGTTTTTAAACCACTTCATCTCAACTAATCAATTAATAAAAGTGGCATGAAGCATGTTATATTTGCGTTCCTGTATTCAAAAATTGCACGCCAATTGAATATCCTCCCTCCTAATTAGTTTCTCATTCACATGTAAAACTTCCTACACTGCAGTTTGTTTTATATATCATCTATAGGCTGTTGGTAAATGTTTAAGGATTATGTTTTGCTTAGAGACCAATCTGTAAAACCTTGCATTGCTTTGATATTTCAATTTTGCACTTCTTTTAAAGGTTGTGGCTATTGTTAATAGTTTGTTAAAGAAAATATTCACTAGTTGATTTCTTACAGGCCCATCAGGATGTTTTTCGCCAACTTGTTGATTTAATTGGAATAACATCCATCATGGAGGTAATTGAGATTCTTACTGCTGTTGTGGTTTTCATTTTAATAAGCTCTTACTTGTAGTATGTTTGGTTGATTTTGGATATCAATTGCTTTGTGTAGGTTTTGGTTCGGTTGGTAGGAGCTGATGACCATGTTTATCCTAATTTTACTGATGTGATGCAATGGTTGGCTGACAGCAATTTGCTAGAAATGATTGTGGACAAATTGAGTCCTTCTGTAAGTGCTACATTTCTGTCCAGAAAACATCTTTTTTTCAATATAAATTAGAAAAAGTTGAGGCTTGGCAAGATAACAGAAAATGAAACAAGAATCTTAAACGATTAGCTAGAGACTCTATACAATGGATGTATAATGTATTGAATTGTCTGAAAATTTTCTTCTATGTGGATCAGAATGCTCCTGAAGTCAATGCTAATGCAGCAGAAACATTATGTGCAATAACTCGAAATGCTCCATCAGCCTTGGCTACTAAACTCTCTAGTCCAAGGTTTGTTGGATTTTGTATGCTTTACAATTGTAACTCTATTTTAAGTGGTCTTTCCTTTCCCCCTTGTTTATGTTTTAATTTATTTATGGTTTTGATGTTTTGTGCATATGCAGTTTTGTGGCAAGGATATTTGGTCATGCATTGGAAGATTCACATTCAAAATCTGGTCTTGTCAATTCACTTTCTGTTTGTATCTCTTTACTGGATCCAAAAAGATCAGCAATGTCTTCTCCCTTGATGCATTCTTTTCGAAGCCAACATATGTACGAGTCTCCAATCCCTGTAAATCCAGAGACTATTAGTGCAATGTTACCTAAACTTGGTGAGTGAATCTCTGTCTGAGAACGCACCTCCATCACCAACCCAAAAAAAGGCAGAAATCCAGGGACAATCTTCCTGATATTTTTTTCGTTTCTTTTTTCTCCCTTTTTCAGAGGGTGGGGGTGCCCGTTAACTTTTGAGCTGTTGCCCCTGTGCATTATCAGTAATTGAATGTTTCGGATGTATCTAGTCAACTCAACATTAGCATAACCGTATTGAAATTAAATCTGTAATTTTTAGTAGTACAATTTAAATTTAAAAAAGGGTAGAAGAGGCTTCTGACAGAAGATACTGTTATCTACTTTTGTTTTTACCTTCTTTTCCCTGTCAATGCCAATGATTTTTAAGATTGCCCATCCCAATTTGCAGGTGATATGCTTATGCTATTGAATGTCCTGTCTGATGAGAAGATTTTGCCTACAACATATGGAGAACTGAAGCCTCCTCTTGGGAAACATCGTCTAAAGGTTGGTTTTCATGTTTTTGCCGTAATCTTTGTATGGAACTCAATGCAAAAAGAAAATATCAACAACATGGTTTTGGAAGCTGATGGGTGTTGATAGACTGGTATTGGCGGAATGAATAAATCTCGAGTTTGAATTATACTGAATTATAAACTTGTTTGGAAATTAACTGCTCTCAAATTGACTTTAGATTGTGGAATTCATTGCGGTGCTACTAAGAACTGGAAATGAAGCCACTGAGATGGAGTTGGTGAGCTCAGGAACCATTAAAAGAATTCTTGATCTGTTCTTTGAGTAAGTAGAAATGATTGTTCTCTTTTGAAGAAGTTGCTCCAGTTACAGCGTGTTACCTAATCATGCATGATTCTGATTTTTTAACTGATGCAGGTATCCATACAATAACGCTTTGCATCATCATGTAGAGAGTATCGTAATGTCATGTTTGGAGACCAAGAGTGACGCTATGGTTGATCATCTTCTTCAAGAGTGTGGTTTGATAGGAAAATTTCTCCAAACAGATAAAAACCCTGTAATATCTGATGATATTAATCAGGTATATGGTGTTTTTTTGTGACATTGATAATTTTAGTAATAATAATGATAAGGACTTATCTGCATGTAATATGCTGCATCGAAAGGAAAAGAGCAAAAGACATGTCTTTCCCCCTCTACTTGCAATTTGGTAGAATGGGAAATTAGTTAATTGATATGATCATTTATATCTTGCACTGGCATGTTTTATCTATTAATAATATGTTTTCTTATGCAGCCAACTATTCCTGCTGCTGGAAAACAAGCACCTCGAGCAGGAAACCTTGGACACATTACACGAATTTCTAACAAGCTTGTTCAGTTGGGAAACAGCAATAGCCGCATTCAGTCTTATTTACAGGTGGGTGGTAAGCTGGATGTACGTTGTGCATAAAATTGTTTCACGAGTACAAAGTTCCATAGAGAAACCTCAATAGTTTTACTGGCATGTGGAACTTGTGTGGAACTTGTCTGCCCTCTGAATTATTGCTGAAAGAAATTAAGTATTGAGGGACATTTATTATCTTTGATATAAATCACATTAAGCTTGTTTTGGCTTGAAGCTTCTATAAGTGGGCAATAGGCTGTGTTTTGTAATTGTTGCTTCTTTTGGTGATGACGTCATCTATCCACTGTGTTCTTTCCTCTAACAATTCCAAGGAGTTTATGCTCTCTCTGTTAGGAAATGGAACTCCTAAATTGTATTCGTCTTTTTCATTTACCTTTCTAATTAAAGTATTTTCAATTATTCTTTTTTTGTGCTTCTACTGATGTACATGATGTTACAACTTTAATGGTATCATTATTTGCTCTTTCCAACTCATTCTTGTGGCATTTAGTGCTTCTTTGCTCCCAACATTAACATAATTGTGTGATTGAATGGATGTCTCTTATATGTAATTTTGGTTTATTGTTCTGCTAACTCAGTTTAGTTTCATTCATCTCCAGGAAAATAGCGAATGGAATGAGTGGCAAGCCAGTGTTTTGCAAGAGCGTAATTTGGTTGAAAATGTCTACCGATGGGCTTGCGGGTATACTCTTGCCTCATCTGTTATGCTTATCCGCTCTCTAAAACAGTGTTTGTAGCTGTGTTGATGTGTATCGCTTGAATGAGCACTCGAATATGTGATAACCTATAAGATTTAGATATTTATTGCAAAACATATTTAAATAATAATGATATGTTGGTGAACAGATTTAAATATATAGTCAATCTGCATGTTTTGCATATAATTTTCTTGTGTCCATCTAAAAATCTAACAGTATGTCGGGTTATTTTTTTTTTAATGTGAATTATGTGTTAAAATTTGCCATTAAAATTTTGGGTTTTATAAGCATTATTTTCTCGATTTGTGTCACTGCTGTGAATTGCTGCTGGTGGAGTTCTTCACCTTGGGGAGAAAATAGATTGGTATTTCATCCTCCTTTTGTTTAATTTTTTCCTTGTTTTGTGCAGCCGCCCAACAGCTTTGCAAGATAGGACACGGGACAGTGACGAGGATGACCTTCATGACAGAGATTATGATGTAGCAGCTCTAGCTAATAACTTAAGCCAGGCTTTTAGATACAAAATATATGGGAACGAGGATAATGAAGAGGTGCATAAAGGGACCCCTTTCTGATGGCTTTCATTCTCTTTTGTTTTGTCCTGTTAATTATATTACGAGACGTGTGTCAACTTTTATCACTCATAAAAGCAGGAATGAGTAGGATCTCAATAAGCCCTTCCAGGATCTAAAATCCAAATGAGGGCCTTATGAATTTTTTCAAACTTCATCCTTCTAAGTTCATTACATTTACAGATTGGCCCAATTGATAGCATTAGTTTCCTCCATCGTGTGACACTAGCCTGTTTCTCTGCTGATGTGGCCTATCCCTCCATGCATCCCGCCAGCTGCCATCTGTATCCCTGCCTTTGCACCATCTCCACCATTATTCCTTGTACATTCTCTCACTTGAACCATCATGTTCTCTTCTTCGCTGCTGCCCATTCTTTCTAACTAAACCCATTAGTCTCTCGTCCTATCCAAAATAATGCTACTGTCCCTCATCTCCATCCTCTCTCCAAAACGAGAAAGCCTTACTCAATTAATCAAGCTACAAAATCTTTCACAAGGATCAACTTTGTTCAAATAAAGCAACATATTGGGGGTTGACTTGTCTCTTTGTTTATTAGTATTTATTTATTTTCCAACTCAATCGTTTTTCAACCACGGCATTGTATTCCATGTGTGTATATATCAATTAAGGCAATTTGTTTAGGTAATAAATTTAAGAATGATATTTGAGCTAACTGTTCTGGGTGGCGGATTTTTGAATTTTGTGATATTTAAGATGGATACTTTATGTATGAATCCTACAAGAAATGTTTCTTAAATCTTTTTTCATTCTGGTTGCAGGATAGTGGGGGCCTTGATCGGGATGATGAGGTAATGGTTTAACTTTGTAATATATGTATGAATTTTTGTAATGTATGTATTTTGTTTCGCTTCATTTCTTTTTTGGTGGTTGGGATGTGGGTTGGTGTGCGTTGGCAGTGACTTTTTTTTATATTGCCTTTTGATATCAAACATCTGTTGTTTTGTCTTTGATATCAGGATGTCTACTTTGATGATGAGTCTGCCGAAGTTGTTATATCATCCCTAAGGCTTGGTGATGACCAAGGAAGGTAAGGGTTTTATCATCACTCTTTTTTTATTGAAACACTGGATCTTTTATAAGTCATCTGCCCATCCATTTCTTTCACTCTATTGACTCGTAACACGATAGGAAAATTGTTTTAGAACTTATGACACTCTATTTACTCGAAACACACTAGGAAAATTGTTTTAAAACTTATGAATGTGCAAGTCCTAAGGCTTTTGACCTGAACCTTGAACAATGTCTATTGTGTGCATCTGCCTGGCTGCCTTTCACCCTATTTATTGGAAACCCAATCTGAAAGGTGTTTTAAAATGCTGTGCCAAGTCTTGATGCTTCTGACTTGAACCTGTACATTTTGGTTACTAGCGCAAGCAGTGCATTTGGGAAATTTTTCTTGGACAAAGCCATATATTGGATGTCAAATTATGAGCATACATATTTAAGATGTATATTTTTGTTGGATGTGATTTGGAATCTTACTGATTTTTATTTTTTATTTTAAATACAGCAGTCTCTTCACAAATTCAAACTGGTTTGCGTTCCAAGACGACAGAATTGGTGATGCACCTGGGAGCACATCGCCTGGAGAGATGATGGATCAGATTAACTTAAATGGAAATGCAAATGGTGGTAACAGCAGTAGTGATGATGAGGTGGTGGTGGGAGAGGAAGATGAGTTGACCGAAAGCAAGGATTCTGTCAATGGCACATCCACTTCCAACGCAGACCTCCTTGATCAATTTCCTGGGAGTGGTCCGGTTTCACAAAGTGGTGATGCAAATGCTCCTGATACCAGCTTCTTCAAATTTGAGACACCAGACAATGAAGACTTGTTTGGAGATAGGCCTTTACCTGAATGGGTAGGATGGGGAGAGCCATCAGATTTGCAAGTAGGGGGATCAACTGTGAATCCATTTGTAGATCATGACAACTCTGATGTCAATCTTTCCAGCCAAGCTCAAGCAGAAACACCTGATGCTAGTTCCCCATCAAGTGGGGAATCTATACTTCCAAATGGTTCATCCCCCACCAAGGATTGTAGTGATGGTGGATCAGTTAGCAGTGATTCAAGTAAAAAATCTCCCACCGTGCCTTCTTTGTTTGAAGAGGACGTTGAATTTGTTGGTGTCGAATTAGAAGGCTCCGAGAAGGCAATGGAGCAAGCTCTCAAGGAGGGAATAGTTGGTGAAGCGGGGCCTCTAAAGAGAAATATTGCACCAAAGGTGCCAGAGAAGGAAAATTCCGATGGTGCTGAGGCTGAGAATAAGGAGTTCAATGACGCAAACTATTGGAGGATTGATCAATAGGTTGTTGTTGTGGAAGGATGATGGTGATTGATCTTTTTTAGGTTTTCTGAACCTGAAAACTTGGATCCTAAAGCCACAGACCCCATTTTTGGTTGGCAAGGGTTATGCAGCAGATATATGTACAGTATTTTTGTTTCCAAATGGGGATTGGATGGTAGGTCGTGTTATGGCTTTACTGTTTGTTTAGTTGTCATTGTTACTCTTAATTGTTTATTATTATTCAAGGTCTTTTGTTTCTTCCTGTTACTGACTTGTAGGGTTTCCCTCATCCAGCATATTTATATTTTACTGTCTAGTCTCGTTCTTGGTTTGAAGTCGATGTTATCAATCTTAGAATTTGGGTGGTTATGTACCTTATAGTGTCAGGATTTCATTGCCTAGAGAGTTTCTAGTTTCTACGAGGTTCCTGATGGAATGAAGGCAATTCCAAAGTTGGAAATGCAAGGGGAGGGAATGGTATGGTTATTTGTAGCTCGGAACGTTTTGTTACCGAAAATAAATTGGTATCTTGATTCAGATTGCAAGACAAACATCAAGCGACTCTGCCAGTCAACCGAAAGCTATGCGGTGTGTGTAAACGCCGAATTCTTTTTTTTTTCGGTTAATTTAGATGATAAAGACGTTGAACTGATTGATCTTGAATGTAATAACGGGGCAAGGTAGCGATTTTCGGTTCGGAAGGTTGGTTCTTCCTTGTTAAGAAGATTTTTTAAAGTTGATGAAAGCTTTTATCCTCAAAAGTGATACAGGATTTTAAAACTGAGGCAGATTTTGCTTCTTGTTTTGTGCTTTCTGGGTAAGAAAAAGAAATGATTTTTTAAAGTTGAAAGCTTTTATTCCCAAAGTGATGCAGGACTTTAAAGCTGACCAGATGGTGTTTTTTTGTGTTGTTTTTTCTCAGAAAAATTGCGATGCTCGTGGCAGAAATAAACAAGGAAGTACAAGGCAGGGAAATGATGAATGCAAATGGATTAAATCATAAATTAGTTCCTCTAGTTTTAAAAAATAAATAAATTACTTATTTTTTCAAGACGAATTATTTGATTTGATTACTTATTCAACAAATGACTTTTTTTTTATCAACTCTTTCAAACTAATTATTTAGTCTGATGGCTTATTCAAGAAATGATATCTTTATTTTTCATATTTTTTAACATTTTTTTAAAAAATAATTTTTTTTAAAAAAATTAATTTATAAAAAAATTTAAAATACAAGGACTAATTAATTTATTTCTTGAAATTGGAGAGACTAGGTTATAATTTACTCTAAATGAGATCAAAATAAAAGAATAAAAATTTTGAACAATTCCGTATTTCGCCACGTGTAATCGTTAAGGAATCCAATAAGAATTCCATACTGACCAAGAAATTTCTAGAAATTCCATACTGTCAAGAAATTTCTAGAAATGGCATTGGCCCTCCCCTTCTTGGATGTCTCTATAAATGCATTGCAATGCGAGTGAAGGAAACTGGGAAATTGAAGGGCGGAAGAATCGAACCAGAGGGGTTAAAAAAAAAAAGAAGCAGGAAGGGAAAGATGATAGAGGTGGTGTTGAACGACAGGTTGGGGAAGAAGGTGAGAGTGAAATGCAACGAAGATGATACGATAGGGGACCTCAAGAAGCTGGTCGCTGCTCAGACTGGTACCCGACCCGACAAGATCCGCATCCAGAAGTGGTACACCATCTACAAGGACCATATCACTCTCAAGGACTACGAAATTCACGATGGCATGGGCCTCGAGCTGTACTACAACTAATCAATCAGGTCTTAGTTATCAAATTATTTCGTACAGTACAATAAGTTGTTCAATTCCTATTTATTAATCTGTGGTGTATCTATTTGGATTGTTTATATGAAAAGTATGCTCGCTCGTTTCCTATGGGCTGTATGGTTAGTAGTATTTATGTGGACGGTTTCCAATCTATGTACTACAGTACTGCCCCACCAAACTCACCTCTCTAATTGTTTGGGCTGTTGCTGACAGTCACATCCCATAGGTATGATGTCTCTAGTTACTACTTTGCTAGCTCTGCGGGCATGGTTTCTGTATACTCTAAAAATTTATGATGACCAATCAAATAGAATAAATACAAATAACGAGGAACTTGTAAAGAGGACAAAAAGTATTAATATTATGTAAATTAAGTGATTATCAGATAAATATTCAAAATTCAAACTCATGAAGTAATATAGTTTAGATGTTATTCGGTACGTGAGTGAGGGTTCTGAGATAGAATTCAAAAGTTTTGTTAAACTACTAAATAAGGGAAGAGAGAGAGAGAGAGAGAGAGAGAGGGAAAAAAAAAAGAGAGGTGTAAATGTAACAAATAATAACATAACTAATTAAAAAGAATAACATTCTACATGATTAATTTTTTTCAGCGTATTATACTTGAAATTTTTTAACTCCTCGTTTATTAAATTAACCACACTAAATATAAAAAGATGAAATAAAAAAAATTAAGAATTATAATATTATCATTAAATGATTTTTTTAAAACAAGTTTAACGGTGCACGTGTTACAAAATTAGTTGAGTAAAAGAAAAACTGAAAGAAAAGAATTCGAGATTTCAAATTCTCGTGAGAAGTAAAAAAATACTGTGCTCGTTACTTGGCGTGCTTTCTTTGACCCGAGTTACCAGAAATTCAGCGAGAAGCGGTTAAAACGGATAAGATCTCGATCACTCAATCATAACTGGTTGTAGGCCTTACACGTAACGGCAGTGTAGCCTAACGTTGCAATCAAGGTTTTTGAAAACACAAAAGCCCAATGCAAAGACAAACTTTGTAGGCTCCACCCGCACGAGCGGGTCTTTGGGCCACGTCACCAAATCTATGTCGCTTGTGATGCTTGAGATATTTTTCTTTTTTCTTTATTTCTTAGGCCCATCCCATAGAGATTTTTAACTTTTATCATCAGGAAAGAAACAACCACAACGAAAGAAACCCTTTTCTTTTAATACTAACTTTACAATTTTTGACGATTTCTTTTTACAAAATTTAAGGATTTATTTCTTTAATTTACTTCATTGAATTCGCGAGTTTAAATCTTAAAATCAACACTTAAAATAATTAATTTTTTAAAATTTATCAGACCAATATAAAAAATGTCCATATAATTTTAAAATTATTTTGAAAAAAATAATAATCTTAATTAATTTACGTTACTATAAAAACTATTCTAATAACTTTGCAATTTTTTGTCGTTTATAAATAACTTTTCTTGCGAAATAGTATTATTGTTTATTTGTTTTTTGTAGGTATGCTACATGTATGAGATCAAATGCCAATTACATAACAACTTTTCTTGAAAGTCGATGACTTTTTGGGTTTTAAATTCATTTCTAAAAAGGTCAGGGAAATGCTCAAAGTGAAAAAACAAAGGAAAGAAGAGGAAGGAAAACTTTTGGTTGGATTTTAAATTGGAGCAAATTATAAGTTAGATCTTTTAGTTTTGAAAAAAAAATTATTTAGCCTTTTAAGTTTCAAAAACTAACTAGTTAATCTTAATCTTTTCACTATTTTCAATTTATTTTGATTTTTTCTTTAAAAAATAAAATAAAAAGATTGAAGAGAAAATATGATATTTTTAAAAATAAAATAATATTAAATCAAGCACGATCAATATAAATTAAGAGACTGAATAATTAGATTGTGAAACGAGAGAGATTAATTAGTTTATTTTTTAAAAAATAAAAGGATTAATTTATAATTTACTTATTTAAATCGAGGGGTTTTATCCATGAGCAATTTGATATAATGATACTTTTTACTAATCAAAAAATAACATTTCATAAAATCTTGAATTTGAGTGTTATCCTTATTGATTAACATTTCTGTAATCCACTATTGTTTGTTGAATTGTTTTTCCCGTGGGGGTTCTTGGATCTTCTGCGAACTATAATATAGTTTTCATTTTTGTCCCCCGTAAAAGGATAGCTCCAACTCAAAGATTTAAGCACCATGAACAGTTCTTGTTGGATTCAGCACTCTATGTTAATTTTCCTCTAATTTATTTGACTGTTCCCACGGCAATGGACAGACAATCAATGCATCATCACTCCACATCTTTTGATACACACAATTTTATTACATTTTTTTTATTTGACAACATTTATGAACACTGAAATTAACTTCCTAACCAACAGGGTACTTATGGTAGCTATAATTAAGTAGACAGAGAGGGGGGAAAAAAGAAGAGAAAAGAAGCAAAAACCGGAAAAAAGATAGAAAATAAGGAGATGGTCTTGTCTTGTGTGGTTCAAGCTTTGCAGCTATCCATGATTGGCCTTTGGTCACACTACTTGATGCTGAAATGGTAAAATGTGAAGTAAAACCAGATCCCACAATACAAGGGTTTGGAAGTGAAAATGTTGGAATTTACAAAACTGCTTTGAAAGATGTTTTTGTCTTTGCATTCGGTGCCACTAAATTTGTTTGTCTCTTTAGCCCTCATTTCCATATTATTGACCATTTGACTATTTGACTTCAAATTAAAAAAATATTATTGAACATTTAAAAAAAAAAAAAAAGACGGAACAATTAAATGTTCAATAGTATTTTTTAACCGGAGTATAACACAACACAACAATAATAAACAGGCCTAAACAACTAAGTATAATAATTGGTATGAATTAGCTTACATGAAGAAGAATCACGAAATCGCGAGTTTTAGTTTTTATTTTTTTCATCAACGTGGCATGAGTTTAAATCATGAATTTAAGCGTAATTTGTGTCTTGCAAGATGGAGCAAAATCCTACCTTCATCACATAAATAAACAATCATCCATTACGATTAAGTAAATTTTAACAAATTCAAAATATAATGTTGTCCAACAATTTGTATTCCAAGTTCGATAGGACAGATAAAACTATTTTTATATTTCATGAATGTATCAATTCAAATTTAAACGCTATGTTTAAAATTCAAATGAAAATATTTTGATAAAATAATCATTTTTTTGTTTTTTTATTTAAAAAAAAAAGAAAAAAGAAAAAATAAGTTAAAAAAAGGAAGAATTAATGAAAAAAGATGAAATTTTTTGAAATAAAATAATATTAAATTAAATATAGTATAGAAAATTAAATAATTAGTTTTTTAAAAAATTAATCAATTCGTTTTTAAAAAGTAGAGGGATTAATAGACAATTTACTCAGTATTTTATAGTTTAAACTTTCCACAATGGAACGGAGTGGACAGTGGTCGGTAGCAAGTGGTCAGGGTGGAGTCAAATCCAAGCCCGGAGGTGGACCAAAGGCCCGGCCACCAAAACGGCGACACTAATGGAAACCGCACGTGGATGTCGTCGTGAGTTGTCTTGGGTCCCACTTCGCGTGTGTATGTTGTTTATTATTAGTATTAGTAGTATTATTAATCATGGCCTGCCTCAAAGTTCCTTCTGACAATTTTTTTTAATGCTGCAAATGCCAAATAGAATAGTCTACGAAGAACACCGTACGAAATAATTAATTAATTTTGTTGGGATCGTAAAATGGGTGTTATAAAAATACAAAATAAAATAAAAAGCAGCAGACCAGACCACACCAGCCTGGCCGTGAAACCGCCGGAACAGTCAACACTATTTCATGTTTTCAGGATTTTGCAGATCCCAATTCGGGATTCACTGCCTTAACCTTGCCCCAACCCATCAATAAATTACCTAGTGTATAGATAACTATATTTCTATTTTTATGTTATCTATGAATTATTTTCATATGCCATGCTTTCGAGAGAGAAAAAATATATTTTTTATTTTTCATACATATTAAAAAATTATTAATTATTATACTATATTAATATTTTTTAGATATTTTTTAGATAATTTTTTATGAAATAAACTTTAATTAGGTATATTTTAGTAGTGTCCGTAACTTAAAGTTTTGATTAAACAAATATTTTGAGATATATATAAATAAAAATATAAAAGATTCCTTTGGGACATAAAAAGTATAAATCGATTGGATTTTTAAAAAAATAATAAATAAAAGAAAGTCCTATTAAAAAGCATAAAAATTTTCAATGATGTATTGGTCGATGAACAGTATATAGTCCTGGCAGTAGTTTTCTACTCGTACAATTTCTTGAATATAAAACCCATTATCTACATGTGACTTGTGTAACTATTAAAGAGAACATTATGAAGCATTTGCACATATCTCGATAACTTTCACAATACATTTTTGGACGGTTTTCAAACTCTAAAGTACCTGTTTCCATCGAGTCAAAATATTTTACAATGATATATTATAGATTATAACCATAATCATAAAATTGAAAGACCTATCCTTAAATGAAGAATTGGACTGTTTAACCTTAGCATTATCATGCACGTAAAATTACACACAATCATAAATGCTAGTAAAACTTTATGAAACTATTTTAGTAAAGTACCATTTGGTGCCTCTTTTATCACCATCACGAACGATCTTTTATGAAACTTTTGACCAAGTACCATTTGGTACCGACAAACGATTTAATCGTACAATTCAAATCCTCGCAAGTCATAAACGCTATTGTTAATTTCTGTGCTTCAGAATAATAACAATACTCCCCCAGCTATTAGCAGCAAGTTCGGAAGAAGATTTACTGTAGTTCACAACTCTTGGGTTGCATTCTATTTCATTTTCAAAATTCAAAATAAAATTCATTAGGAAAGGAAAGCAAAGCAACGAACTAGCAGTAGAAGCCTTGTTTCAGCATCCCTAATGTTTTATAATGGGAGTCAGTCGTCCCTAAGACGTGATTCAACCACCTCGACGGTGCACATGTTTCTCACTCCAATTATCTGTCACTGCAATGCTCATTTTACAAAAACTCAGAAAATTGCAATCCACTCCAAAAAAAAAAAAAAAAAAAAAAAACGTGAAATGAAAACTCAGAAGTCAGGAGTACAACAACAACAACAACAACAACATTAGGCATAAATAAAAATTATTCAGCACGCTTAGCTGTGCATAGTTACTTGCACTTAATTAAGAAGCATATAACATTCAGACACAGTATGTCTGCTTCCCTAAACACAAAATGTGAACAACTACAAACTCTTCCAACACATATATATATGCTTTTACAGCATCTACTCTCAAATCTCACACTGCGTTATGCAAATATGCTCAAGGGACCTGTCTTATTTGGAGCATCTAGTCCATTCTCAGCGTTTCGCATCCCCGTTATCCATGTCCTGAAAGACAGATCATTACTTCGATTAGTCAAAAGCGTTCAACTGACTGGAAAATCTAACAAATATTTCCATTTGACTTTTGTTTCCATGTGCTGCGGTAGAAAATAAATCTTTATTTGTCCCAAGATTGATTCAAAGAATTCTCTGAACTACTAATTGAAAAGGCATGCATTGGAAAGAATAAAAACTATACACGTCTAAATTGCCTATCATTTCCTCTTTCAAAATGAAAAACTTCCTTTCTCGTATCAGTCTTACCTCCCAACACTGTCACTGCTAGCTCGGTTCATCAGAATCGTCAATCTTTTTGCAGTTTTTATAAAAACACTGCATTTCCAACAAAAGAAAAAAGACAAGATTTATCAAACAAATGTACCAGTAAATCTGCATCCAAAATTGAAAAGTTAGGTGCCAAGTAGTTCTTATCAACCTAAAATACTCGGTCTGTAAAATGAAAAGATAACCAACAATGTAAGAATTTTTCTTTTTCCTTACAACAGATACCTGAATGGTTCATCTCCAATCTGTTTAACAGCACCTGTCGCATCTCGGTAGAGCACATGGCTTGACATTTCTGATCTCTCTATTCCAAACATGTTAGCCAGTTTCCTTTGTAGCTCTTCATAAGAACAAAGAGCAGAGAGGTCAAGGGTCCGTCCCACATCCTCTGACTCCAAAAAACCTTGCAGTGACCAGTATCCATGCCAATTTCACTAGCATTGTGAAGACGCTGGTGCCATGGAAACCCAGTACCACATGACTTTTCTAGTGAAATGTTCTTCTCAGGTGCAGATCGTAATACATCAGAATTTTTTTCCCTGTTGGGAGACTCACTAGATGAATTTCTCTCATTAATAACTTGTGAGACTGCATCAGTTGAACAGCTATGAGATATCTGCTGCTCAATAAGTATTGGTTGACCAAAGAGCAGAAACTGGTGTTTCTTTACGTTATCAGATTTCTCCAACTTTGTGTTGCTGTTCCCCATTGTTAACAAGCTAGATAAATTCTCATTGCTGTTTGTGTGGCCTGTCAGGTAGTTTTCAGAATTTCTAGAATGTGGATTGAACCGCTGGAGACTGAACAGCCCTGACTGCAGTTTGCTGTTAAACTGGAAATCTGATAAAGATATTCCAAATTGAGCATGCCTGGCTCCCTGTATGCCTGCAGGAGTGTTATCGGATAGACAACACAAGGGGCTGCTGGGCCCAAGGGGGTTGCCTGAAAATGACGGCAATTGAAATTGGCCGTCAAGCGGAAAGTCTAACTGTTGCGGCAATCGCAACTTCTTTCTTGGTGGGGAGAAGGGTGACAGGTGGATGACTGGCATATTTGACACCAATTCAACCAGCCATGGGCTGACACGTTTGACATTTTGTAGCAAATCTGGCTCATCCCATGTCACCTGCAACACCATTTGGCAAAAGATAAAATAACATGCTAATGGAGACCAAGTGAGTTTAGACTTTAGCAAATAACAACTTTAAACACGTTCAACACAATTTGCAAATGCAAAAGAACAATCAGAAACTCAGAGTTTCCAAACTCTTAACTGATTCTGAAATTAACAATTATCAGCAGAGAATACACTAGATTGCTAAACTCAAGTCACACAATTATCTTAAGTGCAATGGTTCTATACTTCAATCATGATTAGGTAAGAGACAAAAAAAAAAAAAAAATCCAAAGCCTTTAAGAAATCATCTAGAATAGAAAATCAGCTTCTGAAATCTATCTTAAATAGTGCATTTCAGTACAGAGACACCTGATTTATTTGGTTAAATGTACCCAAAAAAAAAAAAAATCAATTTCTGGAGACACCAATTTGTACATCGTTTATTGAATAAGGCATGTCAGATCACTTATTGTCAAAGGACAAACGTTAACTATTTCTGCAGACGGTAAAGTATATGGAATAATGATCCCACCCACAACAAGAAAATAATAGCAGTATAAAACTCCATATCAAAACCTTAAGAGCAACGAAATGCTGTGGACCTTGTCAATTGAGTCGGTGCTCTAGATATAATACGATCTATTTCCAACTCATCAGAAACTTCAATTATGATAATTAATGTTCCACCATTGATTCGCAGATATTTGTCGTGTACCTCTTTGCGTGATACCGTCACTAGGACATTTAACTGTATAGAATACTCCTAATGTGACTTCCACAAATATTATGCCATAAACTTGTCTAGAACCAACAAATAGGTTGGTATTTTTTCGGGAATCAAATAGAGCAATATCACGGTGTAGTTGAATGTTAGAAGTAATTTGGGAAAAGGCAGAATATATTTGGCAGAAGAGGAAATAACTGATTACCAAAAAAGAATAGAAAATGAAACGAGAACAAACTCGGGCAAACGAAATGCTTAAAAAGCAAATTTGAGAAGAATGGCATCTAAAATTTAATCCTTGAAGAATTGAAAGACACAGAAGCATGTAATTTAGCAAGGAGGAGGCCTGGAAAAGCAACTTGCATATGGGTCCAGAACCAGTTAATGCACCTAATCTATAACCCATGTCAAAACTCAACTCAGATCTTAAGGAAACTCATTCAAGGTTTAGTTTTGAAGCAAAATAAGGGTAGTAAAAGACAAGTAGAGAACCTGGAGTAGCCGCCATGGAGAATTAGGCCATCGGACGGGATCAGCAACCTGAACAGAGGCAACGGTCCCCATAAACCAGCTAATCCGCGAAGAGTCCTCTGTTTCAAAAGCCATCTTAAACCTCATCCCAGAGCACCAACTGATCCTCATTGCCGCCCTCACTGAAGATATCTTAACACAAAACTCTGGGGTGCTTGCTCGCGGATAGTAAACCACTTCAAAAGGCTTCCCATTAGCCGCAAGACCAGCAGCCTCCAAAACCTCTTCAGGCTTCACTCTTCCCCTTCCCTTCATTCCCCCATTTCGCATCTCATCTTCTTTCACAAAAAGTGAAAAACCACCATATGGGTTAGCACAAGTAGCATTGTTGGAATTCCACCCAGTGGTTGATGATGATTCAGGTCCACACCCAAATCCAATCCCCCTCTTGGCACGGCGAATTCCAACACAAAGATCGCCATTTTCAGCCCTCAAGAACACAATTGAATCTCCAGCAACCAATTTCTTCTGGTTAACAAAAGTGCTCCATCCAGTAGTCAGCAAATGCCTCCTTGGTGTCCCTCTATAAATATGCCTAAATTTCCATACCTCACCGTGCACATCTTTAGCAATCACAGTCTGCACGGGAGGATCCGCAGAGTAATCCAGCCTTGGAAAAATCGTCTCTGCACAGTATCTAGGCACAGAGAAACCCCCACCGTTGTTAGCATCAGATTGAGTTAGTGTCTTTGCAAAAGAGGCCGGCTTCTCTGGGTTGTTGCTGTCGTTCCCATTACCACAAAGTCCGATATCTTGAGGGAAATCAAGGTCAGTGTTTGGTAAAGGGACGAGGCCGATCTTGGCGTAGACCTCATCAGTGTCAGGGTCGGCAAGAAATCTGACAGTGACAACGCGGCAGAGGATGAAAGAAGGGACTCTTTGGGGGAAATCGAAGGGGGATTGAGAGTGCTCGGCGTGGCCTTGTGGAAAGTAGAAGACTTTACTGTTGAGTGGAGGGATTTGCACCATGCTTCCTGCACAGGCTTGCCATAGCTGTGGATCCAAGCTCTTCTTCTCTGTCTCTTTCATAGCTACCTGCTTTGTTGAAAAAAAAGGAAGACAATGAAGTTAAATTTTGTTAAATTTGAAGAAAATCCAGTTCATTAATTAAATTAAATTAAATTGAAGACCATCTTTACCTTAGTTGCTGTTTTCGAAGGGCCAAAAAGGAGAACACCGCGCCTTCTTCTCCTTCTCCCTTTAGAAAGACGAACAAAAATCTAACACTTAATTATTATTAACAAAGAGCAAGAGCTTGATTTGGATGGAGTGTCCACATTATTTACTCTACTTATTTGGAATGAAAAAGCTTCAGAAGAAAAAGAAATCCTTAAGGAATTTTTGAAGGGCCTGGTTTGGTTCAGTAATAATTAAAGGAAGGAAATGGGTTATAGGCTTATAGCAGTAGAAGTTTTGAAGAATGTGACAATATATTTCACCTTGGCGCAGAGAGAGACAGAAAAACAGACAGAGCTGCAGGGAGGGAGAGACAGAGACAGACACAAAAATCTTAAATGGGGATGGGAATTGGTAATTGATTGCTGCTACTATCGCTTAGCACCGGCTCGCTGTTTGTTTGCTCCCAATCTCTCTCCTTAGACAAATAGCGATAGACACACCCATTCCATTTAACTTGTTTATTCACTGCTAAACTCCAAAACAATACTCCTCGTAGTCCTGCTCCTACGCCATAGCTTTTATTATTATTTACAAAACATATAACGTCATCATCGTCTCCTTCTCTCTCACTTGGAATTTTTGTTTTTGTTTTTGGTTTTTACTTGCTATCTTTTCTTTTTCTGTCAGATCTCCTCTCGTCTTCAACGTCATCAGCGTTAGGGCCGTAGCTTTCCCCTGCCGGTTAATATCTTGTTTGGAAACCCTTGGCTTTTTTTTTGAGGTTTTTATTTCAAAAATTAATACATTTTTTGAAAACATTTCTACGAGTTGTTTTCTTAAAATTATTTCAAATAATAAAAATTAAAAACTACAAACTCTGCTTTTTTTTTTTCAAACATACCTATTCTATATTAAAAATAAGATTAAATACAATTATCAAATTCAGATTGAAAAAAAATCCCTACAAACAATTACTTTTAACGTAAAAGTATTTTGACAACTATAATTACAACCATAACTGCAACTACAAACCACAATTATGATAAATAAAGCCCATTCCTTCCTTTCCTCTTATGGTTTTAACCTTAATTGGCATATAAATTAATCTAAAAAAAATATTTTTATGGTTGAATAAAAAAAATATCACCCATTTTTTGTAAAGTGTTATATTACGAGAGTAGTATTTAAAAAAAATTATTTTTATTATTATTTGTTTAGTGTTAATATCTATTCTTCTTAATTTTGTTACGTGTAGCAATTAAAAATTTGTTATGAATAATGTATTTCAATCTCTTTAATTTATTAATTTCATTTTATAATCCTATTCTGTGAGTAATATATTCTTGACCGCACCACGAAAAATAAAAAGACTCCAGTTTGTTACTGTGGTTATTAATCGTTTTGCTTTCCATTATCTCGTGTGGCGATATAAGTAAATATCACGAGTTTCATGCAACCCATGGTGATCTGACATCGCCGCAGACATAACCTAACCGGAGAAAATAAACAAAGTTAACCTTAGCCATCAGAAAAAAAAAAAAAAAATTCCATTAGGTTTGGATTAGGGTTAACTGTTACTACTCGTTCAGGTTGGATGCCGGTTTTACGAGCGCGTCAAGTTAATGCCACTTGTTGAGTGTAAAGTCGTTCGATTGTTTAAAAAAGCATTACATTAGGGGGTCAAGCTTATCTACGTTGCGGATCCTGGATAGGTATCAAAAAATAGTAATGATATCTTTTGTACAAAGTACATCCCTATTAAGGATTGATTTTATTTATTATCTTTTTAAAAAGAAATGGAGAATTAGACATGTAAATTATAAATTAGTCCCTTTATTTTTAAGAAATGAATTGATTAGTGTTTCTTATTTTAAAAGCTAATTATTTAGTTTTTTTATCGAGTATTGATCATACTTGATTTAATATTATTTTATTTTAAAATAATATATTTTACTATTTAATTTTTTTTCTTATTTTTCTTTTTCTATTTTTTAAAGCAAAAAAGTAAAAATAAATTAATAAAACTAATTAAGTTCTAAGAAAATTTTAAAATATAAGAACTAAATAATTAATTTTGAAACAAGAACGACTAATTAATTTATTTTTCAAAACTAAAAAGACTAATTTATAATTTATCTAGAATTAGAATGCAATTCACATTCAAATTTTATTGTCTGAAGGTTTGAATCTAAAAGTTAAAAGAAAGAAGAAAGAAAAGAAACATTTTTAACCAGTAAACGATCCTTCAAGTTTTTTTTTAAGGATCCAAACTGGGGTAATTGAGAAATGGAAAGCTTTTGGTAAAGTACTAACATCACTAGCGACATAAAACATCACAACTAGTTAGACTACGAAGATCAATGTCAAAATTTTGTTGTAGAAAGCAAGAAGAGAGGGAGAGGGCTCAAAGAACTAAACGATCCTTCAAGATTTTTTTTTTCAAAAAAGGATCCAACTGGGGTAATGGAGAAATTGAAAGCTTTTGGTGAAGTACTAACATCACTAGCAACACAAAACATCAAGACAACTAGTTAGACTACGAAGATCAATGTCAAAATTTTGTTATAGAAAGCAAGAAGAGAGTGAGAGGGCTCAAAGAACCATACGGAAAGTGGTTGTTGAAGAATCGGCATTGATACCAACACAAATCTAAACATCGACTTGACCTTATTGATGATAAACAAATTACATCAATAAGACATGCATAAAATGTAAGTACTTGAAAGGAAACGAGTAGTTTGAGTGATTAAAGGTGTATGGTCTTTCTATTATCTCATAGAAATCTATTTTTATAAATGCACGAAATTCATGCAGACAATGCCTTTTCGAAGTCTTTTATATATAAATAATAATAATAATAATAATTTTGATTGATGTTTTAATTAGTTAAAAAATACCTTTAACAACAACAACAACAACAACAACAGGGTTGTTGTGCAACATGTATATTATGTTGAAAATTTTGGTTTTGATAAATAATAAATTATGGTAAAAAAAGGTTTGAAAATGCTTATTTTCAAGTATAATGTTAAATTTTAAATTGAAAAAAAATGAAAATGAAAATGAAAGAGTCGTTATAAAATATACATCTTATAAGATTTTAAATATTTAAAAGAATTTAGAGGGAAACTAAGCGAGATGAAACTTTTATGTTCGTCATGAAGAATTCAAGTTTAACGAGTTATGATTATTATTATTATGAAAGAGTTTAAAATATATATATATATATAAAAGTCACTTGTGATCTTATGTTTTTAGGTGTCTATGTATGTGTTTTTATTATTTATTGTTTGAAAAGAAAGGAAAGGGCACTTGTCTCACACATGACATATCCATATTCTAGCTGCAATTGTCTGAAAATTGGTATATGTATAGTAAGTAACTCAAGACCTTAATGCTTAAACGTGCATGTGTATGTTTTTGCTGTTAAAAATGAAACCAATGGGCATTTGTCCCATATCCACCAAGTGTGAGTGGCTTAAGTTTATAAATGCAATGAATGCCTCTTTCTAGTCAATAATTATTAGAAAGTTAGTATTGATGATGTTACAATTCTCGGATTATTTGAAGGGTTACATATTGTTTATCTTTAACTTATTGTATGGGTTAGATGTTGTTTATTTTTAATTCATTGTAAGGTGTATATATATATATATATATATATATATATATATATATATATATATATATATATGTAGTGTAAAAGATAAAACCTGTAAACTCTTATTAATTTTTATATATAGGAATATGTCTTTAATGTAGACGTATTCTCTTGACGGTATTATTATTGGTTTTGTTATAATAATCATTTGTAAGATGAGTACTTTGTAATATATAAAGAGATGTATATGTCTTAAATATTAATATGTGCTTTTTGTCTCGTATTTTATGGAGCATGACAAATGTAGTGAGATATAGTTATTTTCATCACGATGCACCCGGTATAAAATTAAAACTTCATATATAAATAACACATGATGTTCTTCTTTTATATGTCTGTTGTTTCACCTGAATTAAATATGAGCGGTTTAAGTATTATAAAGACATGACATATGCTTATGTTAGCAGTAATTGCTTAAAATTTGGTATATGTGCAGTAAGTAACTCAAAGATCTTATCCTTAAACGTGTATGTGCGTGTTTTTGTTGTTCAAAATGAACAAATGAGCATTTGTCCCATGTCAGCTAAGTGTGAGTGGCTTAAGTTTATAAATGTCTCTTTCAGTCGATAATTATTGAAAACTTAGGCATTTGTATAGTAATACATTCGTAATCTCACCTTTATTATGTCTTTTTTCTTTTATCAATAATTACTTGAAAGTTGATATATGTCCAGTAAAATCACGAGTGACTCACCCTTACACGTGTATGTATTTCTCTTGTTATGTGCAAAGAAAGTATATGCTTGCTAGACCATACTACTACGTTGGATACTAACAGCGTCGTCCCACATTGCGGTCCCATAGCCAGGCCAAACCAAGCTCCATACTTACGGACACGGCATGTTTATGTTGGCCTTGTTTTATTGGAAGTGGTCCTTCAATAAACGAATCCTTTTGAATGAAAAAGAACCTCCATGGCCGACTATCAATGTCTAATAAGCATCTCTGTTTCTTTGTGGGGTTTTGTTTTTTCTTGCCGATCACTAGACCTCAGACATGCTATTCACTCTTTTAACTATGGACTATTAAATGATAATTACCGATAAGCGAACAAAATTGGTGGATCCCGAACAATTTCTATTTTTTGTGGGTTAGAGACAGGAGAGTAATACGTACCAACAGTTCCATCTCAAAAGAAAACAAAAGGCATCTGATGGTTTGGACAACTCAAGCTCTCTATTTTAAAACAGCTTCACTATATTTTATTAAGAATTTAAATTTGATTTAATTTTGATTAATGTAAGAACTGTTCTCAAAATACTCTAAACACCGTAAATATCCAAAAAAAAAAAAAAAGGGGTGGGGGGAGATGAATTCAGCATGACTAGACATGCAGCTAGTAAAAGCAGTTTCTAATACGGCACAAATTTTTTTTTTTTCCCTCTAAAAAAGACTGCAATCTGGGATTAAAAGTTTGGGAGATTTGACACCATTCTTCCAGTTTTTAATGTAAAAAAATTGTAAGAATGAAAACAACTGACTTGCACAACTTGGGTGTAATAGTTGGATCTAATACGGTAAATTTGTACTTCATGACTTTGGCCCGCAACAAACATGGTCCGTGCTAAAATGATAGCCAGATGGGTGGCTCTAATAGCCCCAATTATACTAGGTATAACCCTTTTTATTTAATCCTAGTTACCTAGGTATGCTTATATATATATAAATATATATATATATATATATATATATATATATATATAGTTAGCTGACATTGTTAAAACTTTACCAAACAAATAGAGACTCATTCAAGTTAAAGGACTTAAAATCATTAAGCAAACCGACGCCCAAAATGATAAAAATGATTCCTAGCTTCCATGGGTGAAAGTTGATCCGAATTCATTTTCTCCAAACTCAAAAATATTTAATAAAGATAACTACACAGCTAATTTCGATAATTACTAGTAGTTTTTATTTTTGTTAAAAAAAAAAATGGATCGGATCTCCTTTGAATTTGAAGTTATTTGGGAACTAGTCCCTCAACTAAAAAAAAAAAAAAAAATTGAAATTTACCTCTTTCAACTTTGCTTCATTTGAAACTAGATTTTTCGGTCAAATTTTATAAAATTTCGTCCATTAATTAATGCATTTTTGCACGTTAAAATCACACGACTTGTGCATAAATCGATCTAAACACTTTATTTATTGATTTATTTTTAAATCCTTAGATGAATTTGACTTTTGAACAGAAAAAATAAAAAATTTGTTTAAAAAATGAATTGAATAAAAAGTTTGGTCCTTTTATTAGATTTTTTTTCCCATATTTGTTTTGGAGTTTTTCTAAATAAAAATATTTATAAATATTTTAGTTTCGACATGCTAAAGTTTTGTCGTTTTTAATCAGATCTATGGATTTTTTTTATCAATTTTTAAATATATTTTTATTCTTTTTTATTCAAAAGCCGATTCTTTATAAGATTTATGAATATTTATTTATCTTTTTTTAAATATATTTTGTATTTTCTTTGCTCAAAAGTCAAATTCATATAAAGGCTATAAAATAAGTCAATAAAAGTTGTTTTATTTTTATTGTTCTCCATATATATATATATATATATATCACGAATGCTTGCAAGCTGTTTTGTTTTATATTTTTTTATTAATTGTTAAATAATAATACCAATTTGAGAAAAGAAAAAAATAAAAGGAGCAATATAATCATTTAGTCTTCTCTATTAACTATCATATTATCAATATAAGAAAAATTAGATAAAAATATTTAATCGACATTTAAAAAAATTAATATACTAAAATAAAAAAATTGATATATTCGATTAAAAAAATATTTATAATTAATATATTTATAATGTATTTTTTTTATAAATTATATGAGAGTAAATACTTGCTTGAAAGACCTCCATAAATAAAATTAATCAAATGAGATATGCCATCTCTTTAGTCGTACGATAATATAACACAAATCTAATATTGAAAATTGAATGAATCTTTTTATTGCCATTCGAAGCAAGTTTTGGAATCATAATTGCTACTTTATTTAGTATTTGTTTTTATTTTTTATTTTTCATGGGAGGAGCCTATTATTAGGGTAAAGCAAGTTGGCTTGCTGCGATTATATTAGCCAAACCCTTTTCACAACCTATACCTAAAAAGCGTCACATCAAGTTAGTGGCAAATCTAAGGGATGGACAAGTTTGAAAGACATCGCACCCTACTTTTTTTGGCACCCCATTTAAAGAACAGAGTGAGGCCCCTTTTATGGTAGACCGTCAAACCTCTTATTAATTTCCGATCATGCTCTCAAAAACAATAAATCGGCCAGTTTTTCTCAACCCATTTTCTTTTTGGACCACAGTATACATACCGGGTGGAACTACAATGTCACTGCCCAAGTAAATTATAAATTAGTTCCTTTAGTTTTTTTTTTAAAAAAAAACGAATTACTTAATTTTATATTTTATATTTTTTTTGTAATTTAATATTTTTAGTTTTTTTTTTCAATTTGTTTCAACCTTTTGTTGTAATAAATAGAAACGAAAAAAAAAAGAAGTAAACTATGCAGAAAAATTAATGAGAAAATATGAAAATTTTAAAATAAAATAATAGTAAATTAAGCATGATTAACACTATCAAGAATCTAATAATTAATTTTTAAAATAAAAAAAACAAATTAATTTTTTTGTAAAAAATAGATGGACTAATTTATAATTTGCCCTGAGCTAAATCTTAAAAGGGTAAGTTTATTTTTGCCCTCGTAGGTTCTCCACTTCTACCTTTATACAAAATTTTTCAATGTTATCCCTATAGTTTCTAAGAGGTTTCAATTTTACTCTTGACCATTCACAAGTAAACAACTGAAAAACCACTCATTATTTTTATCTCTTACTCTGAAATCCCTACACGTGTTATAATATCTCACATAAATATTTAACAGTCCAAGAAATTCCCAAAAAAAAAAAAAAAAAAAAAGATAAGCTATTTAATGATTAGTAGATTTGACAATCAGGTTTGATTGAACGAATTTGAATTGAATTGTCTCAAATTCATATTACTTCGAACCTAGATCAGTAGACATTTACTCTAAATGAAATCTATCAGCATTAGAATAGGTTCTGACCAATTTTGAGAGTTTTTTTTTGTCTAGTAAAGAAGCAAATTCAACTATCATTCAGGTGTGTAAATTACACATAAATTACAAACATTTCATTTAATTACGATAATTGCCTCTATTTATATGACTGTAGCGTTGGGGGTGTGACAATGTTTTAAAGTTAAAAGTTAGGTTGACATTAAAAAATACATGAAAAAAATTCAATTAGGTTTAAGAGTAAAAATTGAAAAAAAATACAAATGAATTTTCTCTATAAAAAATTTTATGTTTGCGTTTCTTTCAACTTTTAACCAAAAGCCAAGTAAATTATAAATTAGTTCCTCTCATTTCAAGATACAAGTTAATTAATCTATTTGGTTTCAAAAACTAATTATTTAGTTCTTTTTGCTTTTTATTTTTTTATTTTTTTTTGTTTTAAGAATAAAAAAGAAATAAAAAATATGAAAAATTAATGAGAAAATAAGGTATTTTATAAAATAAAAAATATTAAATTTGTCATGATCAACGGTGGTTAAAAAGACTAAATAATTAGTTTTTAAAACCAGATGCATTAATAATTCATTTTTTCGAAACCAAAGGGACTAATTTATAATTTACTCACCCATAACCTTATTGATTTTTTTAACCGCAAGCCTAACTAGGTTTAATTCGAGATTATATAGCTAAAAATATATTTTTTAATTCTTTTAAATTTTAAAAAGATAGAATAATTTAAAGAGAAAATTCTTTACAACAAAAGGGAAAAAATATAATTTGGTATTCGGATATGTAATTGATTAAGTTTAGTTCGAGATTATATAACTAAAAATATATTTTTTAATTCTTTGTCAAATTTTAAAATGATAGAATAATTTTAAAAAAATTCTTATAACAAAAGAAAAAAATAGTTTAATATTCAAATACGTCATTAATTAATGAAAAAGTTGATAGAAATATTTAATTGATAGTTTTAAAAAAATCAGTATACTAAATCTGAAAAAAAATTAAAATTTATGTATTCTATTAAAGAAAAAGAATAAAAATTATAATTTGATATTTTGAGAATAATAGATACGTCATCATCGGTTAATAAAAAAATTTGACGAAAATACTTTATCCTCGATTTTAAAACAATCAGTATACGTAAATAAAAAAAATTAAATTTATATACGTAATTAAAAAATTGAAAATTGATATTTATCTTGAGTGTGCGGAGGGAAAGGGGCCTTGCTAAAGTGCGCCATTCATTTATAGCTATGCGTTTTTTCGGACAGCTAGAGACACACAGACAAGACAACCCAGACAGCACCAGCGACCTGGACTGGGAATGTGAAGGGAAGGGTAATGATATCCACGTGTCGAAATCAAGGTGGCTTGGTCCTTTTTGGATCAGAACTCATAATGGGACGTTTAATAGTAATTGTGGGCCCTCCCCCGACTGCTTATTCAGTCCAGGAATCTCTGTCGTTTTGTCCTCGGAAAGATGAAGTATACTGTGGGATTTTTACTCGGACTGAGTTCAGTTCACTCGTGAGTCAGCTTTTTAATGTTTCGTTTGTTTTATTGCTCGTCACCTCTTTGCACAGGTCGAGGAATTAGGTTTTGATGAATCTGTTTCTCTTTCTTTTTTCTTTTATTGATTCGATCTTTAATTGAAATTAAATCTCTCTGTTTCTCTTTTAAATTTTATCCTCTCCACATATAATTTGTTTTCTTGTTTTATGTGGATATATACTAATTAAGATAGACACATTGGCAGTTTTTTACGGTAAAAAAGAAAATAAAAAAAATTAATTTAGACCTATATTGCCTTTATGTTCATCCATATTCCGTCCGAATTTAATAATAATATTTAACAAATTCGTTTCAAAGTCATTTGACATCTATAAATATTTTTACAATAAGAAAATTCAGGTAAAAAATCACTTAAAGGAAAAGAAAATATGTATAAGCAATATCTAAGAAAAGTAAATTTCAATTCATTGCTTTTTTATTTTTATTCAGTGTGTGTGTATATATATATATATATATATATATGAAAGAAAATTTTATATTGATTATTTTTTTATCTGAACACATTCCATCACTTGAAATTGTTAAATATTGATGTCAGTATCAATTGACACATACTTTTTTTGATTAAAATATAATAAAAAATGAAATCCATTCGAAATTATTGAGAACAAAAAATTATATAAAAATTAGTTTTGTATTCACTAAACATGTCTTTACAGATTATTTGAAGGCTATTAACAATAATAGATTGAACAGTTAATGAATTACATATTAACCAAAAACATTTAAGAATGCCACGAAACTTTGGATGAAGAAAATGATATCATTTTTTACTTGATTTTCATCAAACCAGATCAGATGAGTGATGAAGAATATGTTCGGAAATAAAAAACTTCCGAGAACAAAATAAAAAAAAATAAAAATCTTAAAAAAAAGTCTGAATAGGTGGCATAAATTTTGAAGGAGACTTTAAAAAAAAAAAAATTTACTGTTTCTATTTATCTTTTTCTCTTTTTAAAAATATAAATAATAATAATAATAATAATAATAATAATAATAATAGATAAATCACTTAGATAGATAAAATAAGAAATTAAACACTTAAACAGAATAAAAATAAAAAGTTGAACACTGACATTGCAGTGCTCTTTTTATTTATAAATTACTCTCAACTTTGATTTGGGTTGACTAATTTTCTCTTAATTGCGCACGCCTTTGCGTGCTGGCAAGAGCAACAACTAGCTGCATGATTAAATGGTGAATGGAAACACAAGATGGATCACTAATGGGGTAAGGGGTAGGGTGGGCACAACATCAATTGCAGGACTATAGCCATAGTTGGTAGAAGGTTGGTATCCAGATCCACCGTCTCATTTCGTTTGTCCACATGATTTATCTCCAACTGGTGTGTGTACATACATACATACATGCATGCATATATATATATATATATATATATATATATATATAACTTTTTGGGCCTGGAAAAGTCTGAACTTGTTTATTCTGCACCTCACCCCACCAAACCGGCTGATCAAATTTCAAGGGAGAGAAAAGAAGCCTAGCTAGTTTATTTACAACTGGATGCTAAATTGTAAATGAATTGTCTTAAAACTTCACCAAAAATTCGAATAAGCATCGTCTAAACTGAGATGAAATAGGTCATTATATTTGTCATACAGCATATTTATGAGCAAAGGCACTCAGGTTGAAAATCTATCAAGGATGTTGTCGTCTATCTGGTGTCTCATCAGTTTTTCCTAGAGCCATGAGTTATAACATCTGGGACTCCATCTTAAGAGCTTGTGGTGCAAGTGTTCTAGTCATTTATGCCAGGCCTAGACAACACCCAGCTTTTTATTACTGCCCCCTCCCTTGTTTTTTTCTTTCCTGACGTTATTCAGCTTAACATTCCAATTTGGTTCAAGTTAATGAAGAAAAGTTCCAACTTCCATCCACAAACTCAGCAAGAGACCAGTGGCCAGGAGGGTATTGTGTTTTAGGATTCTATTTACCGGACATCAAGTTAGATGGAACTCCTATTCTATCCATTTTGCATTTCTACAGTACTATTCATTATCGGATTGAAGCCAAGACCAATGTTGTACAGTGTCATATTAAGACGATAACCAGTATCCTGAAGAAAGACTGCCTAGTTGGTGTATAGTGGCAGTAATAAAGCATTACAAAAACTCTTCGGCCTCTTTGATTTTTTCCTCCATAGAGACGTCTTTGTTGCCTTACAATGAACGCATTTCTGAGTTGCATCTGGCCGCTGGAGGGAATTCTAACTTCAATTTTCTATAACATTCGATAGCAAACCACACTTTCTGCTTTCTCTTCACAGGATTCAGAGTCGTCCCTGAGGAATGGGTTTCCAAGGCAGCCAAAGGATAATACCTTCGGGATGCAAAGGAAGTGGATGAGTTGAGAGGGACCAATAGACAAAGGGTACTGGTTGAATGTTGTTGACGCTTGCTGCGAGACCTCCTCACCGGAAGAGCATCCAAAGGCTGAAATCTGAAGGTTCCTTGAGTGAGTTAAGCAGCATAGATCTGCCGAGGAGCATGAATTGCTACTGTCAGGACCTTTTGCTATAACGTTAATTGATTGGAAAAAAAGGGCTTACTTGAGGCGTTTCACCACTGTGCAATACGAAGGCTAAAGGGATGCTTTTGAACCGTTTAGGAGTTGCTGCTTTTAAGGATAGAAAATGAATCGGGACATAGGGGAGAAGCTTAACTGTTTCCCAATTGAATAGAAAGTTTCTTTGGCAATGTCTAAAACCAGTTCCCAAGTTAGGGATTGAGTAAGCTTGTTCATATTGCAACAACAATATCCAGGCAACAGGACATAGATTTTTCAGCTGAGTTGGGGCTGCTTTCAAGGACAGAGGGTGGGTCTGAGGTTTCCAACAGGCCTGACAATTTTCTGTGAGAAGATTCATTCTCGAGCAAAACTCTTTTGTTAGAGGTGTTTAAGTAGGGTTCTTGTTCAACCCCTATGAATTAGTTTGATGTAATAACAAATCATGGGTTTGTCTCTAACAAATTTCATTATGTAAGACTATGTTTATAAAGGCTTATAAACAGAATCCAGCACAAGCGCATACACTCATCAAAGAAATCAGAAATGTTCTCTGTGCATCAAGGCCTAGATATATCTTAAGATTAAATTGATTCTGCATCATGGAGTAAATCAACCATCTCTCTTATTTAATTCCGATATGAAAAGAAAATCTTTCCTAAGTTTGACGGAAACTTATTCAAGCAACGACTAGACTATCTCCAACCCATAAAATCTCCTCAAACCTTTTTCAGACTCCAACGTTCCTCTCCATCTGATCAAGCCACCATATCAGTCAGCTACATACAAACCTTTTCAATTTCAGACACTAACGTTCCTCTCGAGCTAATAAAGCCACCATATCTATCTCTTAAACAAATCCCTTTCCAATTTCATCTCCACAAACTTGTCAGCCAGCTTCCATCACTCTTTCTTCCATGCATAAAACGACCATTTCCTTCACTCTACCATGATTCTTGCCAAAACGCAAAAGACTCTAAAAACAGAAAAATCCTCATATATATATATAGCATTGAATAGATTCGAAAGAACATTGAGCTTTGACTAGAAGAAATTCAAACACTCTTTGTTTTAAAGAGTGATTAGAGAGCTGATCCTAGCTTGCGAGTCAGTGTAAAGGATTAAGTTTAAAGAAATCAGTAGCTTGTAAAAGAGAGAAACAATAGTGAAATTGTTCAGCCAATCTTAGAGAGATCCCCGAGGATTGGAGTACTCACAGCAGTTGTGGGGAATCAGGATATATCTGTGTACAAACATCTCTCCTCTTTACTCTTTTATTTAAATGTGTGTGGTGATTGCATGAAATTTCTATAGTTGAATCATAGTTGGTGTCTCTCTCTCTCTCTCTCTCTCTCTCTATATATATATATATATATATATACCTAACCGAAACTTTGTTTTGAATTTGCTCTGAATCATCTTTGACCATAACTATTTCTAGTATTCAGACTCGATTAAAGTTTTAGAAACCCAATTCACCTTCTTTTTGGGCTGCCCCTTGGACAACGTATCAGAGCCTCGGCTTAATTTATTAGATTTAACAAATCTTTGAGTTTTCGATCATGGCAACCTTAAAGAGTGGAACTATTGAAAGTCAGTACACATATAGACTCCTTTTCTTTGAAGGCTCAAACTTTTAATTTTTGAAAGGTGCTACGGTCCAGCCCAATTCATTGTCTACCAACTATTAAGGCTTAGGTCCAATCCATCCGGTCTATTGCCTATAGAACTACGACAAGGACCAAGTCATCCAAGTAGTTTTTAGTTTCCAATAAAATCTCTACAAGTTGTTAGTATTTCAATCAATATTGCTTATCAGTCAAAATAAGAAGAGCAAATCATCTTGATAAGTTCTTAGGATTTGATTTTCCGTTTTTGTTTAATGTTATCGTTGTAATCGAGTTTTATATAAAGAGCTTTTGAATTCAATAACAAGCATGAACTCTTTTGCCAAACAATTTCTATTGTATCTAGTATGTATCATTCACTCTCCGGAAATAAATCGTGGTAGAAATAAGACGCGTGGTCACAACGTAAACCTTAGAGAGATTTGGGAACGTATCAATTTGGTATCGAGCTTGGTTCCATGGTCAATGAACGAAACACCAATGTTTTTGAAGTTGAATGGGCTAACCATGAGACATTCTTGTAAGATTTTCCTAATTTCCCTACTCGTGAGCAAGGAGAGTCTTAAAAGGAAGGAGTTATTACAATCCAGCCCAATCCATTGTCTACCGATTGTTAAGGTTTATCCATTCGAGTCCATTGCTCATAGACCTATGGCAAGGACCAAGTCATCCAAGTAGTTATTAGTTTCCAATAAAATCTCTACAAACTCGTTAGTATTTAAGTCAATATTGCTTATCGGTTAGAATAGGAAGGGCAAATCTCTTGTTAAGTTGTTAGGATTTGATTTCCCGATTTTATTCAATATTACCGTTGTAATCGACTCTATATAAAGCACTTATGAATTCAATAACGAGCATGAACTCTTTTGCCGAATAATTTCTATTGTATTTAGTACGTATTATTTACTCTCTCAAAATAGCTCATGGTAGAAACGGGATGCGTAGTCGCGGCCTAAACCTTAGAAAGATTCGAAAACATATTAGAAGGCTAGAATGAAAATATTCAATCAATATTCTAATTATGAGTCACAAAGAATTATAGTTAATAGACCTTTTGTTCTCATAAAAACCATTGAAGGTAAGACCATTCAATCCTCTAATTATAAGCCAAAAGTTAATGGACCTTGCTAAAAGGTCCGTTAACTACAACATTAGTAAAGAGGTTAATGGTTCGGTATTTCTCTATAATGTTTTATTTGTTTTAATCGTATCTTTTAACTAATTTTTCATTAATTATATCTCTCAATTTTAACTTTGGGTCTTAATTTCATTCCTCCATCCAAATTTTCGAGCAATGACATCAAATTTCAATGATAAATACACATGATACTCGACACGTGGTATTTTTTTTCTATTTCACTTTCGAAGAGAAACAAATTCATTTCTAAAATGACAAAAAAACCCTAAATACCCTTACATCATCGATCCACCTTTCCATTAGCCATCAATAACTCTCCTCAACAATGCATCACTATCACAACCCTTATCACCACCAATCTTCATTGTCATAATAGCCACACCAAGTTGATTCATAGCCACACCCAAACATCATCGAGATCCGCCACCTCCTCAACATTACCAATCTACTCTCCTAGCCCCTCATCACCGTCATAACGACCTCGCCGACCACACACACCTCATTGATCCATTTCATAACAACTCTTTAATGCCGACCCACCATTCACGACCATGTCTCTACGCCGATCGACCCCTCCACTCCGACCACACCTCAATGCCAATCCATTATTCTTTATAGCCACACCTCCACATCCACCACTCCTAGCCTCGAGACCCACTATCCAACCACTTCTTGCAGCCCCGAGACCATCTACCATGGTTCTCCTTGCCATCTCTCGCTAATAGACCCACTAAAACTCTTGCCATCGACCATCGCTAACAAGCCCCCATCAACCAACCACACCCTTAAACCCATCGAGATCCTCCTCGAGCACCTCCTCTCAAATGTAAATACAAGTCTCTCGATTCTACAATCCATGATTTAATCATCGATTCCAATTCAATTATCGACAACTTACATCATACGAGAGAACGAAACATTGAGTGATGGAGAACAAGTTCGATTATACTAAAAGAGGAGGAGGGAGCATGGTTTGTAGCTATAATATCATCGACCTAAAAACTTTCTTAAAAATAATTATGTTTATAAAAAATATTTATTTAATTAATATATATTTTTTTAAAACAATGTTTGAAAAATCATGCTTGGATAAGAATAAAATTAATGCAAATATGATTATTATGAAAGATAAATGAATTAGTTAAAGGTTTATAATATTAATTGATATGATATTTATGTGTTAACTTAGAGGTGAAATTGCAAAACCATAGGGATGTAATTGAAACAATTAAAAGTTTGAATACTTGAGTAAAATAATTAAGAACTTATAGTGACCAAAATTAAAATAGAGAAACCTCACTATACTTTTGGATTAGATTGTGATCAAAGAGTCCACCTTGGTTGATCAAGTCAAGGATATAGAACAAAATCTTAAGCAAAAGCACAAAGGTTGCAAAAATTTATGAAAAAAAAAATCCCAGCTTTATTTAATCAATAATCAAGTTGTAATTTTACATACCACAAAGCTCCTTACCTATAAGAACATATGGTCGGTCATCTCTTGGCTTAATAGATAAGAAAAACTCATCCCAAATGGATTATGAAAACTTAGTCTAATCCATGTAAAAGACTTATTTTTCATTCTATTCTAAAAAGGACATAGTTTAAATACTATAACTAACTAAATAGACTTTAATTTAGACTTCCAAACTAAATAAACTACTTTTATAAGTTAGCTAGATGTTTTACATAATAAAACTCATTTAAATATAAACTAAGATCAATTTGATCCCTTAATTTCCAAACTCTTCAATTCAGCCCAAATTGAATTATGGTTTAGGCTCCCTTGTCAAAATATATCTTGATATCTTGATTAAAATGATTCTGCATCGTAAAATAAATCAAGCATCTCTTTGATTGAATCCCAGCATGGAAAGCAAATCTTCCCAAGTTTGACGAAAACTGATTCAAGCAACAAACAGACCATTGCCAGCCCATGAAATCCCCTTATACCTTTTTCAGACTCCAACGTTCCTCTCCAGCTGATCAAGCCACCATATCTGTCAATTAAACATATTTTCTCCTTCCAATTTCAGACTCCAACTTTTCTCTCCAGCTGATCAAGCAACCATATCTATCAATTAAACATTATCCCTTTCCAATTTTATATCTACACAACTTGTCAGCTAGTTGCCAACACTCTTTCTTCCATACATAACACGACTGTTGCCTTCCCTCTACCATGATTCTTACAAAAACACAAAAGACTCTCAGAGGATTGCAGTGCTCACAATTATGGGAAACTAGGATATATCTATGTGCAAACCTCTCTCCTGTTTACTCTTTTATTCAAATGTGTGTGGTGATTACACTAAGTTTCTTTAAATTTATCATAGTTGCACTATTTTGCTTTCTATGTGTTTGATATATATCCTAGTTGAAACTCTGTTTTGAATTTGTTCTGAATCATCTTGAACTATAACTGTTTTTAGCATTCAACCTCGATTTAACGTTTTAGAAACCCAGTTCACCCTCTCTCTTGGGTTGCCTCTTGGAAAAAAGTCATTCCATGCACAGATCAAAAATTAAGCAGCGACTAGTAACAGAAAGCTTCCGCAAACAATCAATAAAATAACTAGGTAGAAAAAACTAAAAGAGTGTACGGAAATTTCAAATTCTAGATGGGGCAGAAAGATGGAGACTCATACTCACCTAATTAGAAAAAATAGGCAAAAGTTGAGTGAAGTCACTGTTAACAATGATACCGAAAACTGAGGAAAAAGCAGCCAAATCATCAACGACTGGGTAGTGATTGTTGTTCGTCACCATTACAAGATAAGAGTACCAGTGTCCGGTTCAAGTCAGCCTTGGAGCCCAGTCGAATTTGTAAGGACATATGGTTGATCTTTATGATGTTACTCATGCAAGCGCATTCGAATTCTTAGTTAATCGAACTCATCTAAAGAAAAACCAAATATGAACTAAATTATTATTTAATTTTTTAGTTTTTAATTTCGGTTAAACCCGATTATTTTCAATTAATTTCGGAATTTTTTAATTATTTTTTTAAATAATGTAATTAGGCAGAATTGTGTTATGAACTCTAGTCATTCTTTTAATCCAAATGGTCTAAAATAACATACATAAAAGATAATAAATATTAAACAAGACTAAATGACAAAATCATACTCCATAAAAAGATATCAATATTTAAATGCAAATTCATTAATTTATATCTAAAATATACAATGATAAAAAATTATTAATTGTTCAACCATTTTGTAAAGTATATTATCAAAGTTCAAATATGTTCTTAAAAATAAAAAAAATAAAAAACCGAAACCAATATCAAAAACATTTAAAAAGAATTTAATTTGTTTATTATTATTATTATTTTAAATTAAAAACCAAATTAAAATTAACGATCCAGTTTTTCAATTTAAACCAAACACTAGTTGTCTAACATTTTAATTTCACCTATAATATTTTAATTCTAACCGGAAAGAAAAAGTGGTTCAACTGGAATAGTTTAAACAAACTGTACTTTTAGCTATCAATATCATCTGTACTTTCACGAGAAATACCGAGGAGCAAAGCCAATTTACAGTTGGAGGTACGTGGGAGCCGGCGGTCAAAATTGCTTTAATACTATCATATTAGAACAAACACTGCCTATACATGGCATAATACTTCCTTGCAAAAGCCACCTCTGTACAAACACAGACACATGTTAAGCATCGCTGATGGGCTTTAGGCAGAAAGAATAATCACAGATAGTTCTGAACACCTAAGCTACAGTCTCTGCCTCATTCAGATGTTCACTAGTTCGCTGCAACTAAACATCCAATCATCTTGGGTTCCTAGCTCTTATTCAATCAATGTACAAAAAGAACAAATTAACTTGCAGAAAATAGAGAACAAGACACTCCCGACTACGAGGCTACCTAGTAATAATCAGGCAAATAGAGCTATCAAAACTAATGTTCTGGTGCCACTGGCATTAATAAATCCATTGCTGCCATTGGGGTCACCTGCTCTGTCTGCTTTCTCATCTCTAGCACCTTCCTGTGAGAGTTGGAGTGCAAAAATGGAACAAAGGTAGGGCTGGCAGCAGGTCGGTACTCTGGAAGGAGGCGTCCTGATCTGTAACGAACCCCACAAGCATTGCAAAGGGTTTTTGGCCCCAAGGGTCCTTCTCTCCATTGTGGAGTCTTTGTCACCTGACAATGTGTGCATCTCCTGTTTTCAACTGGCTGCTTCATCTTTGGCGCCATCTCTACTGTAGAAGAAAGCAGCATCAGATTCCTTTTTTTCTGTCTTTTCTTGGCAGAGTCCAACATTTCCTCATCATTACTGGATTCTAATTCTGGATCCGGTACAGCCAAACGCTGAAATTTCTCAGAGACACAAGCAGTGGGAATAAAAGGGAATGTACGTCTCCGGGGACGTGGATGCTTGCTTCGAGGGCGCTTTACTGGTGTGACAAATTTGGGGTAATATGTTATCGCATTTTCAGTGGAACAAGAACTGCCACTGCTTTCCAAGACTGAAACTGGGCTGGTGGTCCGGAACAAATGAGAATACTTGCTGTCTGAAGAGTGAAGAAGGATGGGAATGAGCCTGCTTGAGGATGCTTCGGTAGAGCTTGGCCACTTTTTTAACTGGGAAGATCCGTCAAGCTGGGAATTAATATAAAAGTTCAGTTAAACCAAAAAACCTGGTAAAAGGTAGAAAAAACACTCTGTTGCAGTTATCTAGAGAATATTTGGATAAAAGACGCTATCTTGTTTCATGGAGGAACAAACTAAAGTGAGTTAAACTGTTTCTTCCAAATAACAAAAGCAGATTTAATTTAACAAGGAAACATGAAAGGCAAGCCGCTATGAAACAAGTTATCATTCAAAAATCTAATGCTGCTATGTTGACATAAATCACCTATATGGAAGCAGACAAGTTATGAGATTAATTTCAACAGGAGTGACCAAACAGTAGTTGAATCCAAGGGCTTAAACAAGATTCAGATTACCATTTCTGCATGATCCCAACATCTACAACAGATTTTAATCTAAAAGACCCAAGAGATCAAACTAAGGATAGCAACAAAGAAAGGGAGAAAAAGAAGTCCATCTATAAATGATCAACATTAACAGATATGCATAATCAGCAGAAGCATCAACAGGATGTGGGCATACAGTTCTCTTGATCGGAATGAACAAACAAATAGTTATTGAAAATTTGAAATCTTTAATGTGTACACTGCTGCAACGGTAAAAATGATTAAGGAAGGGCTTCTAAGAATCCAGTCAAGTATTGTCAAAGTAATGTTGGTTTTACAAAGTCCTCATGCTCCAAAAGCTTCATCTTATCATTCAGTGGCTATTTCATCTGCTACAAGTGATCCATGATGATCCTTAGTCTGCTGTAGTCACATTTTTCTTAAACATGTGAGGAAAATGCCATCAAGGATTTAGCACAAACACTGTTTCTTCTCAGAATAAAAGTTTGTTGTTTGCTTCTTTCTAGCTATTCAGGGAAAACAAATTATATGCTTCACTGGCTAATAATATTCCATCACACAAATCATCTGTTTGACTTTACACGCTTTATGAAAACTTAATAAAGGAAAGACCACCTCATAATTTGCACTTTCTCCCAAACTACCCTCTCATTCTTTTAATGAGCAGTTGTGTTAGAAACTCGCTTCTCAATGAGGGATATAAAGGAAAACAAAGCATGCATTTCAGGACAGACCAGAATGGAATCCTAAATATCCTTGCAGGATGAAGTATAAACAAATGCCAGAATAAGTAAAAGCATAGTGCAAAGAGATAAAAGAGTAATCAAATTTGTTTTTTGAAATAATAATCCTACAAACATAATATCAACACTCTTTTCCAGACACCTAGTTTGACCCCTTGACACTTTATTATCCCACCTGTTGCTAATGTCGTGAAAGGAAACAACTTCTCAACTAAATAATAGTGTTTATAGTAGACCTAAATTTCTTGTAGTCTTTCACTGGATGCTCATCTAGATTATACCTATCTTTGAACCCTCATTCAAATACACTAGCAGTATGAGTTGCTATTCAATGTGATTATTCAAGACTGAGCCATCCAGCGATGTTTATTTGGATCACAAATTACATCAAAACTGAAAATATACCCCAGGATAATAAGAGCACCTATTCTTTGAAAATGCTTATGTAACTTGCAACTGCTGCTATGCAGATAAAATATATACTTTAGGAAAGTAGCCATGATGCAATCTCTCCATTTTAAGGACTAAGTATGTGGATGCATGAAAAGACATGAGCAATTGGCACTTATTTGTGCATTGCAATTCTAAAGAGAGAATGTTAGTTAACACAAGCTAAGAAAATCAAGAAGAGAATCTGCCAGATGATGTGATTAACAGATAGAGGACCTACACCAGAATTTACAGAAGCAATGTAGAGATTGTGGAACAAAACCACCTTCCTCAATTTAGAACAAATTGCAGACAGGTAAATACCCACACTCACATATAAAGACAATAGTACACGCGATTTGAGGAAAAAAGCCTTAAAACTGAGCACCAAACAGATACGAAAGTCCCCTGCTGTCCAATTTTAAACAAGATATCAGTCATTAAAAAAACCCCTTTAATGTGCGTGTAATAAACATTAACCAAAAGGATCATAGCCAGAGTATTGTGCGAATCAGTTAAAAATACATTTTGTAGATTACTACTATCTTATATCACAAGAGCAGCAACTACTTCACAAAGATAATGGGTGTCGATGAAATGATAAAAACTCACCAAAACGGCCGAGGTTTTCGTTGCTTCCAGAGTCCCATTGCCACCTTCACCAGAAAAATCGGTTGAAAAACTAGTTAAAACGTTAGAGGGCGGCGGCTCGAGGTGTCGAAATTTAGTCTCCCAGTCTTCTCCATCGTCATTTGGTTCAACATCTTCCAATGGGATATCAAAGCACCCCAAGGCATCATCGAAAAAATTATCCGGAACCCCACTAAAATTCTCGTCGAAAAACCAAGAATTACTCATTTTATCATCCCTGTAAATTAGAAAAACATAAAATTAAGGGAAGAAAATAGAGAGAGAATAAAAATGGTTATTTATTTATCTATATTAAAATATGAGCAGGTCATTTTCAACTCGGATACGACGTCGTTTTCTCCATGCTTTTGACTTCAGAAAAACACATAATAATTAAAAAAAACCCTAAAATAAAAATGAAACAAAAATATGAAAACAAAAATCGTAAAAATGAAATGAAGAGAGAGAAACAATAAGAGCGAAGAAAAGCAGACAATAATTCGAAAAAATGGAGGGAATGCAAGTTAAAAAATAAACAGAGGAACAAACCTTGGAAGAAAAAGTCGGAAATCAAGGCATGAATGAAAAACCTATAGAGGCATGAGGGTTAGAAACGACACAGTATTTGACTATAGTGAAAGAAACACTAGCGTTGTGCAGAGACGAAAGCAGAAAGAGAAAACGGAGAGAGAGAGAGAAAGAGAGAGAGAGAGAGAGAGAGAGAAATGTGGTGTGTGGTGAAAAGAGAATCCTTTCCTTTTGAATTTCTCTCTCTTCCCTTGTCTGAAACAGAGAGGCTAGGATTTTTAGGTTTTCTATTATCGGCACAGTTTTCTTATGCTGTATCTCGCTTCATCAGGCTTCATGTGGATTCCATCTCTAATCCTAGACCTTGCTTACCCTTGTCTCTAGTGGTCAGTTTTTATAATCATAGTAGCATTTAGTCCCTCAATTATACATAGTTTGACAATTTTATCAATTGGATTTGGATCCCCATGTTTTTGAAATTATATCCTTCTGTTAAAATAATTGGAGGCAGTGCACGTGCCTATCACGCGTTTTCACCTTTTTTTTCCCCCCTTTCTGATTGGCCTTAATTTTCTTGAGTCTTGGGCAGAACAATACTGAAGTATTGCTTTCAATTAAGACAATTTTGGTAAAATTAGAGTATAGTTGAAGCAGGTTTATATTTTAATTGCACATACTTTATAGTCATCAAGTATAAACTTGATCATCAACATAATAATATTTGATAGTCATCACATTAGAAGATTTATCTATTTAGATCCACTTCGTGAATTGCAACCATATTGTAATATTTTTATATTAACGATTTAATATGCTTTTGATTGTATGGTGGATAAGTACATTTGAAAAATGATAAACTAATTACTTAAGATTACTTACTATATAGAGTTTTTCATCATAGTAAATGTATTTTCTATCTAATTTGTACGTTAGTTGAGATTAAATTTTTTTAAATACAATTTTAATGATGTACCTTTTTATATTGATTTGGTGTATTTAAAAAAAAATTAATAAATTTTCTTAAATATTGACTCTAAAATTTAAAACTAGATAATAAAAAAAAATAATAAGCTTCCTAACTACCAAACCAACTCAGTAGATTGACTTGATACAGAAATTACTTACTTTGTAGAGTGTGACTCAATCACATGGAATTAGATTATTTGAAATATAGATTGCTACTAATTTGTTGGAACATGACAAAAAAATGTCACGTTAGTATAATATAAAAGTAGAAGTAATAGTAAGAATAAGATTAATTAATGGATTTATGATTAGATTGAATCTGAGTCCAAGTGGGACAGGAGACAAAGGCAAGGCCGTAGATGAATAAATGAATGAATAGGAGGAGCATTATATATTATTATGGCAAGATTTGATTTGAGAGATCACCGACGATTAGATTAGATTAGATTGGAGTAGGGAAGAGAAGAGGGTGGCCTGGCATCATGTTCTTTGCTGGTGGGATCAGGACCCACCAATGCTTGTAGTTATAAATTACTGATGATGATGTTGGTCGACATTATTTGTTTGGAAATCCATTTCCATCTTTTCTGCTGAAAACGAAATATTTTCAACCTGAGAGATCATATCTTTTCCTTTTCCTTTCCCACTCCACAAATTCCATTGCTCAATCTAGACGTTCAAAAATAAATAAATTTCATAAATTAGCCTTAAACTATCCTTGCTATCCAATTATTAAAAAAAAAAAAAAACAGAACCGCTGTCTTTTATTTATTTATTATTATTTGAGAATGTTAAATCATTCGATATTGGCATGTCACTGATATGGTCATTTTGGCAGGAAAAAAGAGGACATGATCATGTGCCGTGATTTCAGGAATAAACTATAAATTAATCCCTCTATTTTTTAAAAATTAAATAATTAATTCTTCTATTTAAAAAATTAATTATTTAATCATTTAATTAATATTGATCATACTTAACTTAATATTAATTTTATTTCATAAAATGTCCTTTTTTCTCATCAAATCTTTTTTTATTTCTTAAAACAAAAATCAAAATAAATATATAAAAAAAGAGTGAAAAGCACCTAGATACAAGAAAATTAAAAATACAAAGATTAGTTTTTAAAACAAGGACCAATTACTTCATTTTTCAAAACTAGAGACTAATGTATAATTTACTCTTATTTCCGTTGTCGTGTGGCTTTCATTTCATATCCATGGAAACTTTCGAATTTAGGCTTTGACAATCACACATATTTATGCTCAATTATTTATTATTTATTTTTATTTTAGGCTTTGCCAATTGCACATATTTATGCTCAATTATTATTATTTTTTATTTTTTTGTTAAAAAAACTTACATCTAGATTAAGCTTGTACATCCAATAATAATGATAATAACAAACACAAGATAAACAGTACCCGTGTGGGTATTGGATTTCTCAGAAAAAAATAAAAAGCGAGTTGGAAAAACAAAATTTATAACATCTTATCAGTAAGCCATTCTATTAAAAAATGAACTTACTGTACCATCCAGTGTTAGAACTTTTTTCCTTTTTGGCCTACGGATCTCTTATATTTCTAAACAAGTAGTGAATGATGTTCATATCTTAACTTTAGACATTCTTCTTCTTGCATTTACAAACAGGAAAAGGAATAGGAGGAGAAAGACAATGCACATGGCTGACGAAAAGGTTTTCCATATCGTGATGCCACCTAGGTTGTTGAACATGCTCTCCAACCCATCCTGCGGCATGAAAAAACCACCAGACATAAGGAACCTCACTCTCGCCCCATATGCAATTTGAAGATGACCAGGAAAAACAAATAGCTTTTCATGCTAAGAATATTTGGATACAGTTCTTAATCATTCCTGCTCTTTGTTGTTGGGAACAGGTAGTGAAAAGCTATAAAGAATCAGAGTTTGAAGGCTCTCTCTAAATGTTCTAAGACTTTTGTGATTGTGCTTTCTGGGAAGTACTTTTTAATTAACTGCCAAATCCATATGCAGACCACAGAATCAGATCACGTTTTCAAGTACAGAAAATAATATCTGTTCTTAAGTATCAAGAACAGAAACTATCTTCAAAAGCTTCCTCAAAAAGGGCCATAGGTAGCCGAAATAGCAATACTCTTCATAAACACCACGGGACAGCATATCATTAAAAAAGGAAGCAATTTAAGTCCCTCAGGAAAAGAGTAGAATTAGCTAGTAGTTTTTTAAGCACCAGAAAGTTGAGAGAAACGAACAACTAGAGAGGACTGTTGGAGTATTTTGTTTAAAAAACTAAACAGAAGTGACTGTATCCTGATCAGTCATCACATATTTAAAACCTATAACAGTAGAGAATATTGGCATGACGAGCAGGTGAAGAAAATAGAAGAAAATTTGAGTGTTGATGTTCAGGTGTTAGAGACAGGTACAGAGACAAGAAGAGAGCACAGACTGTTAAAACCCATATCACAACATTATATAAGTTTCATCAGTCAATAATTTATTAGGTGACGCAATCACCAGTATGATTGAGTGTGAACACCAGCAGAAACACAATATATTACATTTCTGAAATAGATGCTTACCGTACTAGACAAAATTTCCACCGCATGCTTGTGTTGCTTTGCAAAGATCTCCTGAGCATATTTATAAAGTTCGAAATCAAGGTAGTTTAGTGATCTTATCTGCTCAATAACCTCCTCAGAAATCCTAAGACGATCCTGTGAAATTTCATCATGGAAGGGTTAGTAAGTAGTAACAGGGTACTTCCATAATCAAGTCAACAACGGTTAATCATAGCACAAAGCCAGTCTAACAACTTTACAAAATGTTTCACATGCAAACCACCAGCATGCACAAGTGAGACATAAAACATGTGGCATAAACTTCAAAATGCAATTCATTGAAGATCAATGTTTTAAAATAAACTAATATAGAATATAAATACTATGAGGCAAATCGAAAAGGAAATTCCATTTTGAAGGGAAACAATTTAGAAAATGGAAAGGAAGCACTCTCAAAATACAGAGCATTCCAGTCCAAACTAATTCCACTAAATGTCAGCCAGAGAAACACTAAGTAGTAACAGGGTACTTCCATAATCAAATCAACAACAGTTAATCATAGCAATTCACAAAGCCAGTCTAGCAACTTTACAAAATGTTTCACATGCAAACCACCAGCATAAACAAGTGAGACATAAAACATGCAGCATAAACTTCAAAATGCAAAACATTGAATACTGATATTTTAAAATAAGCTTATATATAATATAAATACTATGAGACAAGTAGACAAGGAAATTCCATTTTGACGGGAAACAATTTGGAAAATAGAAAGGAAGCACTCTCAAAATATAAAGCAAGGTTAGTATTACTGTCCTGTCTCACATGGCCAAAAAAATTTCTTAAGATAAATGTTCCATGAAAATACTAAAATTTCTCTTTATCCTAACACACTAAATCACTGCTAAAACAGCATAGCATAAAAAAATCTTCAAAGCCATGTGGTACCACATAACACAAATATGCAGAGATGCGGTCCTCTGAGATCTCCTGCTTTGCAACAAGTGATTAATGCTAAACTTAATGAGAGCCTCTGACTAGACAAAGCCTTAACAACGGAGTGCTCTTTAGATTCCATACACAATTTGCTAAAGGAAGTGTAAAGGATCAGAGGTTTGGGAAAGATGGGAAAGACTACAAGAAAATTTAATGAACATCCTCTAGTATTGTCCCATAGGAAAACAAAAGAGTAGGGATAGGATATGGTGACAAAAGAACCTATGTTTCCCTCCCATCCAGGTTTCTGAAAAATATAACCATCCATGCCTCCTATCCAAATGTTAGATGCGCTACACATTTCTCATTGAATTTATTTATTAGCTTCAGCTAGACTTCAAATTTCAAACTACCCAGAGTAAAGCATGACGGTAAGCATCATTTTGGCTGCAGTCTGATATACCACAAAACCTATCACCTGTTTAATTATCAAATCTTCACAAGGCATTGAAAATGTCACAGATCAAAGAAATTTGACAAATCATGAGACAGGTTGATGATATGACAAAGCAACTTGTTTAAATGAAAAAAGGAATTGGGAAGAATAGACTAGCAGAAAAAAATGGTTGTTGAAAGAAAATCTTGAAAAGTGTACCTCCTTCGAAAAGTTTGCTGGAGAGATTCTCTTCAAAGAAGACTTGCGGCGACGTGCCTGGATCTTTCGTAAACCAGACATGCAGCCTTCATAAGCTTCCATAAGTTTCCCCACAGTCATCTAAAATGATGGAAAGATGATCCAGGTTAACATTTAACCTTTTAAAGAAACGACAATCCATTATATCTGTATACCATGTGCCTTACAGTTTCTTTCTTCTCTTCCACATCCTCTGTTGAACCAGTTTCACCTGCCTTGTGGTCTGAGGTGCTATCCTGTCATGCAGCAATAGTAAGAAAATATGCTAGTCTGGTTAGTATTCAGAGTTCCATTACCAAATGCACTAACTCAATTACCAAATATCACTAGTACTAAGTGCAAAGAGTTCACTGCTGCTCACCTGATGATCATCGTTGTCAGGCTCGGTATCAGAAAGCGAAGAACCCTGTTCTGCACCACAAGCAAAAAATAAAAATTATTTGACTTGGAAGTGATGAAACAACTCAAGGCAGGGCTAAAATGGAAATGGAATTCCTAGCCAAACCAACCTGATTTCCTAGCAGCAGCATTCTCCATGCTAGAATTTGCTGTTAACGCTTGAGAAATCACCTGTGCACCAACTACATTCGCAAACATTGTTGCAGATTCTCTGTGGTCCTCAGTGAGTCCAACATATAGCATATCATCCAACCTCTTCTGCAAGATTTACAAGCATCTACCATGAAAACAACCATGGAGGGAAAAATATCAGAGGAACACTATCACGACACAGCATTTTTCAAAACGCAGAAACCTACTGTAATTACCTTTGCAACTTCAAGAACATGTTCACCAAGAATCTTATGCTTCTGCACACAATGACGCACTTCATGTGCTTCCGCAAAATAAGAGTTGTTTGTCAACCCAGCAACCTGTCAATTAAAACAGATGATAGGACTTCAACGATTCAATGCCTATAGCCTAGATAGTGAGATTGTATAAAGCAAACATCATGAATTGAGACAGTTATTTTTCCCATGAAGCATGACATCTGTAAGGTAGTCAACTATCAACAATGATAATCATCTATCTCATGTGACCATTTCCAGTATGCCCACCTATCGACCGGCACAATGAGTCAATTTACAAGGAACATTGGTAAGGCCAAAAATTGGACGACATTTGTCTTTTAAAAACGCTATTTGCAAGACAGCTTCCAGAAAATTCAGTCTTCACCAGACAAGCCAAAAAATCTCAACCAGTCACATAGTATGACAAACTAGACATGCCTACAGACTACATTTTATCAAAACAGTAAGGCATCTCTAAGTTTTAGTACATTCTTTAATGGAACTCTCAGATAAGGTCGGGTCTGATTTAAAAGTATCAATAACCTAAAAGATAAATGACCTCTTTATTTTGCATCACTAGTTTTATGATTGGGATTTGCATTTGTTTCCAACCAACATTTTCAAATCATGTCCCAAAGTAACAAAACATAGGGCAAAAAAAAAAAAAAAAAAACAGAAAGAAAGAAGAAGAAGAAGATACAAGCATGCTATGGGATTTAACGAGGCAAGTACCTGGAATGTCTCTCCATTGTGTACAAGGTCATGGGCTCTAGGGTCATTGATATATTCCAGTAATGGCATAACCATTTCCTCCATGTTGTATGGGTCATTCCTCTTAATGTCAATTGCACCCATCAGTTTTCTAGCATCCCTCTGTCCATGAGAGTAAAACATATAAACATAACATGCAGCTCTAAGAAGAAAAGTCCTAGTCTTCTGATAAATTATTGCATTGTCATGACAAGTTTTAGCGGTCCATGCAGAATTGGTCACTGTCATAATAAAGAATATGTACATGCTGGTTAAAGGAATTCGAGGGAGATGATTACTGAAGACAGACAAATAATATGGAGTATCTTTGTCTTCAAAATGGTCAAATATAAGTGCATGTCCAAATGATTATGAATATTGAAACAAAAGAATGAATAAAAAGTAAGGCATCCAACAGGTTGCAGCAGATTACAAGAGAAGCATACCCGAGCAAAAAGGTCTTCCCTCATCCACGGAACCAAATATTTCCATGGCCATATATCCAATGTACTAACTCCAGTAGCTCCAGGGCGCATGCGGCCAACCATTTTTGTGGCAGAAGTTAAGTTGGGATGCACCAAAAACCTCGCCGCTACTTCAACTGAGAATTCATAAGTGCTAAAGATGCGGTCAACTGGATTTCTAAGAATGGTCACCACAGAAGTTTTCTCCTTGGGAAGTTTGGACATCATGCTATAGTCATCATGAGTTACCAACAACCTGCATTCCTGCTTACTGCACAAAATGCAAAGTACCCCAATCAAAATGCCATAGCCTAACAAAATCAATAGGCAGCATTTGCCCCTTTTTATAGCGTTACATTTAAAATACTGCTATATGGTTGCTATAATCAAAACTTTCATTCTTCCTACCTCTGCATTTATAAAATTATAGACAAGAAGAACTTGCTTAATTGCAGGTGAATCTAGAGAGGGTATGAGGCAGAGTAATACTCCATAGACAGAGAAAACAGACCCATTAGGACTACCCTTTGTAAAAAATCTGCTGCCAGTTCAGCCTCCAAACGAAATTTCAAAGAAATCCATTTCATATATATCATCCATTAAAAACTGAACATTTGGTTAAACAAAAAGATGGAAAAGCCCTATTATAAGAAATAAGGAGTTGCTGAATAGAACAGTGGTACCTTGGATCAAATCGTAGCTTATCATAAGAACGGGGACATTCTTGAGCATTAGAGTACAACTTTTTCAAGAAACTGCAAGCACAAAACATAATTTAGTAGGGTTGTAAGTAAGGTCTCAAATTTGATCAAAATGTGATGTTCCATAGAGGAAATACCAGTGAAAATACGTGCGCCCACCAGTCCTTGGGACATGGAGGAAAAACAACAAATCTCGAAGAGTATGTTTGTCCTCTTTAACTCGTTGTTGAAGGGAAGAGATTGCCCATTTTTTAACAATCTTATCGCAGTGACTAAAATCACTTTTGATGGGAAAGATATTGGCTAACACATAAAGAAACAAACAAAAGCAAGTCTCAGTAAATGCAGAGTTATTACTTATCAGCCAAAAAAATATTTCAAAAACTTCAAGAGAAAACATACCCGAAACAAGAAGAATTAGAAAGAGAACCAGCTTCGGCATTGGATCCATCCCAATACTCCTCCAACCACTGCCAAAACAAACTAGGGTTTAAAAAGAAAAGAAAAGAATCCAGAGGCAGAAATGGAGAAATCAATCAGACAAGAAACAGAAAATTCACCTCTATCGAGTTGAGGGATCTCGTGCTCATAAATTCGTGAAGCCAACCCAACTCAAGCCTTGCCCTTTCCTTTATGTTGGGTTGGGACTTGGGACTCACTCCAGCTCCCAATTCCAAGTTTTCTTTTCACAACTCAAAAGGGTTTTTTCTTTTCCTTTTCTCTCGACAACCAAACAAAGTTTGTGTTTTCCCGAGAAAACTGGTGAATCTGTCTTTGGTCCTTTCTCTTGAGTTGTGTTGTTGTGTCCCAAAAACAACACAGCAAGAATTCAAGGACCAAAGAAAGAGAAGACTATGACCATCATGTACAGGAAACCGATTTAAAAAATTTGATCTTTGACCATGGTGGGAGTTTCCTTTTAGTTCAGACGAGAGATCCCATCTCGTTTAAAAGGTAAAAGGTTCAAATCACTCATTAATTAATTGTTCTTTACAAAATAATAATAATAATACGAAATTAAAGAAAACAATAAATTGAATTAAATTTTAAAATAATTAATTAATTAATCAATGTTTATTTTAATTCTATTTATTGTTTTCTTCAGTTACGTAATATTGATCATTGTTTTTTTCTCTTTCTGTAATGAAAGGAGACTAAGCCCAATTCCTGACATGACTTTCACTCTTCATTATTGTAAAATACTCAAACAACGAAAATTTTTAAATACATAACAAGTAATTAATGACGTATATCATAGTTACTTCATAGATTTATTTTTAAAAGAAAAATAAACATATTAAATTATATCTGAACTTATGATAAGAAGATTTTCAAATTTATTTATTTATTTTTTAAAATTTTCTTCCTCTTTGTTCTTTCTTTTCAAAATAGGTAGTTACTCTTTATGTATTATAAAATTTATCCTAAGAAAATTTGGTAAGAAAATCTTAATAGGTTACTATAAACATATTTTTATATAATAACGTATATTAATTCCAATTCCTTTAGCTATTATGGATTGGCATTTTCAAGTCAACAATTCACCATTAGATTAACATTTTCAAGTAATATATATATATATTAAAGTAATTGGGATTTTTTAAATTTTTTTAAATTTTAAATTTTGTTTATTTTTTTTTAAATTTTCTCTCTTCTCAAAATAAGTAATTAATCTTTATGTATTATAAAATTTTTACTAAGGAAATATGGTAAGAAAATCTTAATAGGCTACTATAAACATATTTTTATATAATAACGTATATTAATTCCAATTCCTTTAGCTATTATGGATTGGCATTTTCAAGCCAACAATTCACCATTAGATTAACATTTTCAAGTTTTCAAGTAATATATATATATGTGTGTGTGTGGGTATATGTGTGTTAAAATAATTGGGATTTTTTAACACTATCAATGGGTAAAGCGAACATCTATTAAACCATTCTCAACTTGATATATGATTATTCCAATGGGAATTTGGATCTTCTACTATTTTTGAGAAAATGAGAAATCATATTTCTAAAATTTTAACCATTAAATTTGTTAAAGTAATCATATTTGGATCTTTTACTATTTTTGAGAAAATGAGAAATCATTTTTCTAAAATCATATATATATGTTAAAGTAATTGAGATTTTTTTAACACTATCAACGGTTAAAACATTCGTCCATAAAAGCCATTCTCATCTTGATAGATGATTATTCTAAGGGGAATTTGGATCTTCCACTATTTTTGAGAAAATGAGAAATAATGTTTCTAAAATTTTAACCATTAAATTTGCGTTTGATCTTATCTTAAAATTAAATAACTTCTCAATTGTATATTTAAATAATGTTCATTGTCTTTTTTTTTATTAGAATTAGATTATTATATATTTAGTGTATTAACTTTTTAGTTTTTTCTAGTTTAGTATCCTTAATTTTATTATTGCTGTTTGAGTGTATGAATTTTTATTTTTTTATAATTAATTATTTCTGTTATAATCTATCAAATAAGTAATTATTTGACCGTTAAATTGACATAAGTCAAGTATGCATAGATATTTTACTTTATTTCTACTAAATATTTGTACTTTTTTTCCTTCCTATTTAAGTGAGTATTTTTATTTTAAAAACTCACAAATGTCCATGTTGCAATCTTATGTAAGTTATATTTGACAAAATTAAATAAAATGAAAACATATTTAGCAAAAAAAGTTATTCAAATTAATTATCTTCACAGTGTTAAGTTAATGAGTGCGATAATATAGTTGTGAGTCATAATAAATAAATACATTTAATTGTTCGAAATTCAAGACATTATAATGTTTATTTTTTTATTCTTTTGTTACAAAAAAGAATTCTAACGAGAGTGAGAGAATACTAATAGTAGTGGAGCTACAACTCATTAGCAAAAATACTATAGTTACACAATACTTTCTGTTAATCATAAAAACTGCTGTCATCCATTGCTTAATTTAAAGTTTGAAAAACTTATTTTTCAATCATTATTTAAAAGCTTCTTTTTTTTTTTTCATGGATAACTTATTGTAAAAATAATTTAACTTAAAAGTACCTTTGGCAAAAAAATATGCTAACGAAACTTCTTAAAGAATAGAAAGCTATGGTATCCATTAGAATTAATAAGTAAAAAGTTGGGTTTACTCTTAATTTAAAGTTTGAAAAAATTATTTTTTTAATTATTATTTAAAAGTTATTTTTTTTTCATGAATAACTTACTGTAAAAATAATTTAGCTTAAAAGTACATTTGACAAAAAAATATGCTAACGAAACTTCTTAAAGAATAGAAAGCTATGGTATCCATTAGAATTAATAAGTAAAAAGTTCGATTTACTCTATATTTTATCTTTGTACTATTAGAATTTTTTTGATTGAGACTTTTTTTGTTTTTCTAACTTGATTAAAACTCTTTACTTTTAAAAATTTATTGATTCAAACTTTTCATTAATTATTCTTCCGACATGACACGTTAAAATTAACTATAACCAATTATAAATAGACAAATGATATAGCGGGTTTTAAGTCTCATAATTTTTCATTCCAAAAAAAATAAAATTGAAAAGATTTTTATTATTAAACTAGTATTTAATATTTAAAAATAAATAAAAAAGACAACACTTCTCAACCCAACTCCTTCTTTTTCATTATTAAGCCTTATTCATCGTCACCATTGATTCATCCAAGAAGTCACTTCTCTCTTCTTTGTCTTCATAAATTCTTCACTAGCAACATCTCATCCTGGTATGTTCTTTTTTTCACCTTGTCTTCATTTCTTGAACTTTATTTATTTCTCTTGATATTCCATTTCGTTTTTATCCTCATTTCTTGAACAACTCTTGTTATTCGAATCGTTTTTTCACCATTGAATCTTTTTCTTTGTTTGGTTGAAGTAATTTGATTTTAAGGAGGTGCATATGTTGCAATTTCAAATTTTATCTTTTGAACCTTTCAGATCCAATGGCAGTTGATGGTAATGAAAAACATTGCACGACAGCCAATGAAGATATAATCACGAGTTTACCAGATGTGGTTCTTTTTTGCATACTCTCATTTCTACCAACAAAAATTGATGCATGTACCAGCGTTTTGTCCAAAAGTTGGAGAGACAAACACCAGTGAACATCAGCATTTACCACCAACCCATTTCCCTCTAGTTGTTCTGGTTTTCTCATGTACAAAAACCCCTTCAAATTTTTAAGCTCCAGTCTTGCCAAAGAAACATCGTTTTCCACCAAGTTCTCATTCTCCATTTCTAGTGGTAATGGCAATGGTGTTTCACTTTTAATTGGACTCATTCATTGCTAGCCGATCCACATGGTTATGTGGATAGAAGAGAAGAAGAGTGGAAAATGCAAGAATTGGATTAGATTAAGAGAGAAATGGATCTTTTAATTCAAGAAAGAGCAATGTTGTTTTCTCTAATTGTTTTTTAAATACTAAATATTAGTTTATTAATAAAAATATTTTTAAATTTAGTTTTTTAATTTCGGACGGAGACACTATTAATTAAGACCCGAAGAACTCATCTTCTTTCTTTTTTGATTACCTTCCTCGCATATGTATAAGACCGAATCCATTTGATTTCTAAAAAGGATTAATAATCCTTAACTTTTTAAGAAATCCTTCATCGATGATTGTGAATGACTAATTTTTCTCAATCTTTTCGACCTCTTGGTTCCATAGGAGCAAGTTAGAAAGATTGAAAAATAGAATCATCCGATTTGATTCATTCTCGATAGCCATGAGATGATCATCTTAGAGTGATTTTTTAATTTTGGATGGAGACACTATTAATTGAGACTCACCATACCACATGTCTATTTGTGATTGGTTATCGTTAATTTTAAGTTACCACGTAGGATGAAGAGTTGACGAAATTATAACGAAGGATCCGAATGAATAAATTTATAAAAATAGAGAGTTTCAATCAAGCCAAAAAAAAAAAAAAAAGAGGGTTTCAATAAAAAAATAAATAAATTAAACAATACAAGAATCAAACAAGAGGTAAACATAAAAGTTAGGATACTTTTAGTATAGCGACCATTCTTTTTTATTTATTAAAAAATCTTTTCAAAATTTCCCCACCAATAGTAAGTTTTATCCCCCAACAATAGTAAGTTTTATCATCTTTTTTTGTCTTAAATTGTTAGTTCCTTATTTTTTTTCTTTTCTATATCTTTTAAAAAATTCAAAATTAAAAAAAAGGCAACAATACCAAGTGGATAAATTCTAAGTTTTGATTGAAGCAAACTTTTTATCAATTTTGTAACAATTTTTTTTTATTTAAGCTATACAATTTCTATATATGTTAATGTTGTAGTACATTAACGTGTAGTACACGTCTAATACATTATTACCCCTTGTAATCCGAGGAGGATTAACAAGGATGCTCAAATTAGTGCGAAGTTGATGAATTAAAAAAAAAAGAAAGGCCTTTAGTGAAAATATTTGCTAGTTGTTCAACGTTTGAGATATATTTGACATCACGGACAAAATGAAGATCTATTTCAATGTATTTGGTGTGGGCATGATTAAAGGGTTGGTAGCCATATAAGTAATAGAAAGATCATTATAGACAACGATTGAAAGAAATGTCAATGTTGTACAATTGAAGGTCATGCAAAAGAGTACTTTTAATGTATCTCAATATGCATTTGACGGCTTGCTAATGAACATCATGAAGAGTACACATATATTGACAAACCATGTTAACAATATAAACAAGATCGGGTCATGTGAAGGCGAGATATTGTAAACCTTCTATTATACTATGATATGGAAAAGGATTAGAAAAAAGAATACCAATAGTGGAAAAAATAAAAGGCACGAGTACTTGTTAGAGTGGCAACTAGTTTAGAATTTAATAAATTAGAATGTTGTAATAATTCACGAGCATATTTAGCTTAGTGGAGAAAAATAGCATCATATTATGTTGAACTTAGATAATAAGAAAGTAGTTTATGCCGAGTCAATCGGACCGGTTTTTAGGCTATTTCAAAGAAGGTTTTTGTTTTATTTAGACATTCAATGTTTTTACAAAAAGAAAGTAGAAGTTTGATTAATAATAATAATAATAATAATAATAAAGATGGTAATACTAATGGTGTTAGCAAAAGAGGAGGTGGTAATAGAGGACCTTCTTTTGTGAAGTTTGTTCATAAATAATATTTGAATATATTGTTGTCTATGGGACAATCTGTTCGTATTTTTGCTCATTTAGGTTGTATTATATACTCGGGAAGTTTATGGATTTTTTTTTCCATCTTTATCATTTAAGGTTGTTGTTTGTGTGTATAGTGGCGTTCTTTTGGTTTGGACTATAGATGAGTTATTGATTTTTAGTTATTGTTGTTAGAACAACATATATGTTGGTGGTTGACTATGGTAATTGCAATTCGATTTTTGAATTTGATTGATATTAGATGACAATCCCCTATAATTTGGAGTAGTAATGCTACTTTGTGTTTCAACACCAATTTTGTGAATTTATTTATTTATTTTGGGTTTTTCACTATCAATCAAAACCTTTTTTTCACTCCTTTTTCTTTCAATCTCTTCTATAAATTAGTCAAACAATTTTGATATGAAATTGTTTGTTATCGATTTTTTTCTAGAATTTATTTTTTTCTTCTCAATTGATGGCGAGTTGAAGAGGATAACGAGAGAGGAAGCATCTCGGTAGTTAGATTGAAAAGCATAAGATGCGATTTGTTTGCTTTATATAGCTTTGGGGATTAGTTTTTTTGATGAAGTTACTTAGAGAATTTTTTTTATTGTTGGTTAGCTCTTTGATTTGCTACCCAAAAATTTTATTTTGCTTCATTTTGATGCTTATTGCACTTATTACATATTAATTTTATGTTTTTAGGTTACTTTTATTTGTTTATAGGGTTTAAATTTGTTAATTAGTTATAAGTTTTTTTTATATATATGTTTGATGTTAATTAAATCCATTACCAATGTTGATTTATAATTTTTCTTCGATTTACAAGTTAACATGATACTTCAAATATTAATTTTGCTAGATTTCTATTCTAACCGTAGTTTCAAACCTTGGTCCGATCTTGGTAGGGGTTTTATTTATTTGTTTTTTCAATTTCAAATTTCAATTTCTTGAGAATTTTTATCTTTCATCCCTCTTTTGCCTTTATTTAGTTTTGGTTATAAAATTTCGTTTATAAAGCATCAACTTCATATATTAAGAGTCTCAATTAAGGTGATATGACACGTTTGACTTAAATTATTATATTGATCTCTAAAATTTTTTTAGTTTCGTGCTACATAGGTATATTTTTTAATGAATTTTATGGTCAATCTTCATGAGTCTAGAGGTTAAAGATGACAAATGTTTGATTGGATAATGTTTTTTTCAGATTGGTTGTAAAAATCTATTCTATTTAATAATTACATATTATTGTGCATTTTAAGACTTTAGGAAATAGGAAATTTGATTGTATTGATTTTTGCTAAATGCCTTATGATTCACACGTGTAGCTTTAGCTGGTTTAGGTAATGAAAGTTGTTTGTGGAGATGGTTGAAGAGGAGAGTTTGTTTGGATTCTACTTTTGAAAAAGAAATACTATGGTTACTCGTTAATTGATTATTATTTTTTTATTTTAAGTTTTTTATTTTATTTTTATTTTATTTTTTATTTTTTTTGTATTTAAGTTGAATGTTAATTGATGAAAGTTATGTTTTGGGCCTTATACAAGTATTCGGATCAATGTTGTCATTGTATTGGCATTTATTGTTGATCGTTTATGCATTTTGACCTATTCAATTGTTGTATTTGTCCTCCTTCTTCATTTTATATTTGAATGTTAAAGCATCATGTATGTATTTACTTTTCTTTTGAGTGTTCTCTATTTGTTTCTTCTTATTTGAGACTTTTGAATAATTTAATTTATTTATGCATGACTTCTTATTTTTAAATATTGATAGAAATTTATCTTTCTTTTTTTTTTAATTTTGGAATATACATATATTGCATTTCATGCTTTGTTAATTTACATGCTCATGTTTCTTCTTCTTTTCTTTGTTTTTGGACTTCTTCATGTCTCGCCTATCACCTTTTGAATTGTTTTTTTTATGTTTTGTTCACATTTTCTAAACTATTCCTTGTATAGATTATTGGTTCGACCAAAAATATTTTTCAAGTTTATTAAATTTTGATTGATAGCTATCGTGTTTGATAATCATATTTATTTCTTTGCTATAATTTGTTATGAAATCGATGGTATGATGAGGGTATTTATTTGGTTCTTTCACATTTCTTTGTGCTAGAATTACGACTTATAGTCCTTTGGAATATTTTAAATTACATGAACTTGGCAAACATGCCGGCATCGTTACCTTTAATGGACTTGGTAATGTGACTATTAAATTTGTTGAGGCTTTTGGAGCTAATGTGAAAGTAGTCGGTACTTCCCCTACTATTGAGGCAACTTTAAAGAATTTAGGTGTGAACTCATTTTTGGTTTGTCGTGACTAACGACAGAATGCAAGTGAATTCATGTTTTTACATGTTCATTTTTCTTTGAGTTTCAAATTATTTTGGTTAAAGGTTTCGGATGTTCTTCTACTATTTCAAATGTCTTAATCGTGTTTCTCTATTAAAATTTTCAATAATCGTATCTCTCTATTCTTAATTTACATATGCATTTATTCTTTTGATCACTTTTTCAAACAACAAAAATAATTTTTCTCTTAAGAGTAACGGAATGCTAACACGTGATATTAATTTTTTCTCTCTCAATTTCTAATACTAGTAAAGAATTAAATAAAATGAAAAAGCCCCTATATTACCCTTACTTAAAAAACCTTTACCTTTACCTCCATGTTCCCCAGGATTAAATTTTCCTTAAATTCCTAATAGTAATTATCCAAGGAGCAACATTAGACAAATTATATGAGTTTGGACTTGCCTTCCTAGCAAAACAAGAGACTACTATTCCCTTCTTAATGGTAGTAAAAGCTCTAATTGCAACATTGTCTCTATAATAATCAAACGTGCTTCCACTAAATGACATGGAAAGAACATTAACACCATCATCAATAGCCTTATCCATGACAACTAAAATATCGAAACTAAAATAACCACAATTCCAAGACACTTTATAGATAGCCACCTTGGCACGAGCAACGAAACGAACGTGTTGTTCCAACTCGTATATCCAAATAGGCTTACATCTACAACCAACGATTCGATTGCCGTAGAAGCGAGTGTGAGTGCCATGGTCATCATCATCTCTAGGCAATCTTGATTCTTTTAATTCATCAACTAGGCCTAATGCAGCCATATAGCCCTTAACAAAGAATCTTGCACTAATTAATTTGCGGTTACAATTATTTATTGTGAAGTTGGTACTTGTTTCACACTCATATTCCAATTGCTAGGCACAGGACCAAACCTAGTATCAAGAAAGCTCGTACTTTCCGGCCAAACATCAATATCCAACACACCAATGATCACTTCACTAATTGAGTTAGACTAAGGTAATAAATTAGCGCTTTTATCAAGTCCGAGGAACTCGGGAGTACAAGTTATATGTAACTCGTATCCGAACTCAAGCGAGTGTAGAGGTAATCTCGAGTTGTCTCTCTAATAACTTGGCTTCTAGTTTTATTAATTGATCGATTTCGGGCATTAGAAAGTTAGGTTAGATTTTTTAAAGTTTTTTTTTTTTTTTTGTTGACTTCATTTAGTTCTTTACTCGGTATTAGAAATTGAGAGAGAAAAAAATTAATACCACGTGTCAACATCTTATTATTCTTAAGAGAAAAATTATCTTCGTTACTTAAAAAAGTGATCGAAGGGACAAAATGCGATTACAAATTAAGAATAGAGGGACATGATTATTGAAAAATTTAATAGAGAGATATGATTAAAATATTTGAAATAGTAGAACGACATATTGGATCTTTAATCCAAATTATTTTCTTCTTTCTTTAGACAAACTTAAGTTTACATCGTTTGGTCTTTTGTTTTAAAGTTGAGTACATAATGGAGCATGCAGGATGCCGTAGAGTGCTACAAGCACATTAGTCGACATCATCAATATAGTTTCTACAGTTCATCCTATTTTGCATTTGTTGGGTTTGTTGGAGTCTCACAAGAAGCTTATTTTGGTGGATGTACTGGAAAAGCCTCTTGAGCTGCCTATCTTTTCCTTGAATTGCTATCATTATAACATCCGATTACTGTCCATTTATTTTTTCATCTTATGGTGAAGGTTTATATAGCTAATAAGATGAGGAAATTAAAAATATGAAGGAAGACAATAGTTAGGAGTGGCATTAGAGGAATGGAGATACAAGAGATGATTGACTTTGCAACAAACACAACATTACTGCAAAAATTGAAGTTATTTCAGTGGATTATCTGAATACAACAATTGAACATTTTGGCAAAAACGATATTAGATACCGATTTGTCGTTAACAATGGTAACACCTTGGCAGCTACAAAGCCGTATAAAAGAGTTTGGCTACATGTCCTTCAACATATAATTTTTGTTCTCATGAATAAACAAATATTTTTGGGTTTTTTTAACTGAATGGTTGGATCTTAGTGAAAAATAAATGTTTGCGAAAGGAAACATACTCAGCATTTGATAAGTAATTTTTACTTTGTTTCTTATTTTTTATTGGAGACAATTACTCCTATAGTCCTGACAGAATTTATGGTGGTCTTATGATACAAGTTTTTTCCTGTTAAAATTTTCATCTTCACATAATAAATTTAAAAAACTATCTCCATAAAAGATTTTATATATTTTAAACTAGATGCGTTATATATAAGAAAGCTTAAAAAAACGGATGAAAGAAAAAATTATTATGGCAAGAAAATAAAGATTTGATTTGACATGACCTATAAAAAAATCTAATTTGAAGTTATAATTAAAAAATTATAAAAAATTCAATTTCAAAATATATTTAATAAAGAATAATTCAAAACAATCCTTTTTCAAAAAGCAAGGTAATACAAATTATAATTAACAGATTGAAAAGTTCAAATTTAAAAGAAAAATGATTTAATTTTGTAACAATTTTTTAATTTAAGTCAATTTTTTTAATTAAATATATTTATGAATTTTTTTCAAATAAAAAAATTAAATAAGTGGATTCTTGCTGCAAATAATTCAGCAGAAAATATTCCCTCCAACGGACAAAAAACCATGCGCAGAAACTTGGAAAGACTAGAATAAATAAACTTGTAGTGGTGCTTTTATCTCTAATTTCAGCACATCGATACAAATTATGCATAATTTGAACCACCAATATTCATTTATCTTGCCTCCACACATTCTTTTAATCCATAATCCATGATAAATTCCTATACGAATAGGGTCAATTTCGTTCATGATGCGCTTGGTCAACATATATATATATATATATATATATATATATATATATTCATTTTTATCCTTAATAACTTCCATAGATCTAGGAAGAAAAGGGATATTATTATAATTATACTAAATAAATAAAATTAAAAGATTTGAGGTGAGTAACTATTCAGGTTATTATTCACTTAGACTCATGTGCATTATTTATTTTTATCATGCAGTTGTACTTTTGTAATTTTCAAGTTTTTTTGGTATTCATATATGAATTTGACATTATATTTCATTTTAGTCTTTATTTTTCTAGAAAAGTTTTTTGGTCCCCAGATGGACCATGCGCCCATTCTTGCCTCTTTTTTTTAGTTTTTATTTTTTTCAAGCAATTTTTTATATGAATTAGATGAAAAAATTATGAAAAATCAATTATTAATTTTTTTTTTTAGTTTTTCATACAGGTTGATAATCATAAAATATATACGATAGGTTTTCAGATTTAAAAAAAAAAATATATATATATATATATATATATTACTATATTACTCTTATTATTTAAAATTGATCTTTTAAATTTATCGTTTCTTTTGAAAATTCTAATCAAATTAGTTTTTATTCTTTTTTTTATGTAATTTTATTTGTTAATAAATAGAATTTATTTTTCTATATGTATGAATTTTTGAATAAGTATGTTTTTTCTAAATAGAATTCGGGTGTTATATTTTCTTATTTTTTATATAATCAAAATGTATCGAATCAATTTATGAATGTTTTTATTGTGGTTTTATGATTGTTTTTGTTGTAATATATTAACTTCAATATATTCTTTACAAATTTATTTTTTAAAAAAATATTTATCAATTTGTATTATATACTTTGATATATATATATATATATATATAATTGATTTTTTTGAAAATTAAATATGCATCTATACATATAATACCAGCTGTTTGCTATTAATTTTTTTAATATTCTAAAATTAATTTTTTTTAAATATAATAAATAAAATAATATTTTAGAAGAACAACCTAATAATTCAAATAGAATTTTTATACTAATATTAATGATTATTTTATAAATAAATAAATAAAAATCAATGTACATATTTTGAAAAAGATATTCTTCTCATCAACATTGAACAATGATAAAAAAGATTCATTTCTTAAATTTTATATAAGTTTTTATATCAATTATTATTTTATTTCTTTGACATAATCTTATAAAATATTTTTTTATTTTTATATAATTTAATTAATTAACAGTATAATGCTTTCTTTTAAAATAAAATAAATATATCTTGCTCAACTAGAAGTACAGGAAAATAATTTTTTTCCTCTCTCTTTTCTTTTCTCTCACTTTTTTTCCTCCTTTTTCTTTCCTCCCAATAGGAATTATCCAAACAAGGGTAAATGGAAAGACCAACTGCATAAAGGAGGCCGCCTCTCTGTTTCCTGCTCTGTTAAGGAAGCACTTATGTTGTAACAGTATACAGGTAAACATAAAATATCTGGACCCTTAAAATTTTTCACCACGTGTCGTTCATACAACGGCAAAGTTAATAAGTTATTGAAAACAAATTTCCTTCTTGAAATGTATGAAAGATAATGCGCGGCATTACTACAGTAACTTCTAGGTATTATAATTATAACGTCGAAATTATGAGATAGTATTTAAAATGTAATAATTATAAATATTTATTAGTTTGTAATTACTTACAAATAGTTTTTTTTTGTTTACATAAATAGCATTTTTGCGTAACAACAAACTTTATTTATTTATTTATTGAAATTGTACTTAATTGTTATGAAAAGATAAGATATATTTCTACGGTTGATTTAGTAAATCTATTTAACAATTTTTAATCACTTATTTGTTGCAAAATGAATAATATTTATTTATTTTTTAAAAATAACAATGTAATTTTTAAGTCATAATTGTACAGTAATATTACTAAGTAATATAAGGAGATAATAAGTTAAGTTGACGATTGATAAAATAATTTATTATAATACAATAAATAAAAATTAATATTTAATAGTTTGTAACTTGAAGGAATTATAATTTAGTGGCTAAATGGGCAAACCTCTACTAAATTTTAATTCATTTAAAAATCACTTTCTGAACTTCTAATTTTAGATTTGACATGTCTTGGACTTTATTTTTTTTAAAAAAATTTAATCCATCTAAAAATTCTATACCTTCTAAAAATTTTAATTCTTACTATTTTGAGATGAAGTTTTGCATAGACATTGGAAAGCATCCTATATTTGTTTGAAAAATATCTCAAAATTTTTCAAAGTCGAAAAGTATATTGTTTTATTTTTTTAACATTAAAAATATAAAAATAAAGAAAAATATAAAATAACTCAGAATGATTTTAAAAAATTTTTATTGAATGATTTTCATCATAAGGTTATTTATGTAACAATTATTTTTTTTATAAAAAATTAAAATATGGATTAAATCTATATAAAAAAAAGTTCAAAAAAGGTTTAACTTGAAACTATAGATTTAAAGAATAGTTTTTAAATAAATTAAAATTGATGGGAGGTTTGACCCATTTAACTTAATTTAATGCCCTAGAGTAACCCTAATAAGCCAATTGATTTTGTGTTATGATTTATTACTAAAAAAACTAAAGTAAAACCATGTTTTACTATTCATATCACTATTTGAACACATTATTCATACATTCATAAATCATTATTCATTTCGTTATTCATGTCACTTTTGTAGCACTTTGGTCCTCAAGTTTTTATATATTTTTTTTCAATTTCAAACTTTAATTGTATTGTAACTTAATCTCATTTTGTTTTAATATTTTTAATTATTTTTATTATTTAAAATTAGCTACTTTAATTTGTCCTTTTTTAAAACTCTTTTTTTTTCAATTTCAAACTTTAATTTGTTAATTATTTTTATTATTTAAAATTTACTACTTTAATTTGTCTTTTTTTT